AAAAGCCAGCCGTAATTAAATGTTGGCGGCCGTATGACATTATTGGCGTCGTCCGCCCGCGCAAAAACCCAGTTTCAAAAATCACGCTTGACAAGCGGAGAGAGAAAACTGCGAACATTCAAATCAAAAACACATGCCATTAAAGCCATCTCACCTAAACTTTAAATTTCGAAGCTTTTTGGATACCTTGATTTAGATACCTTAAATCAAAAGAATAAGAACGCAAAAATCGGTTAAAAAATTGCACGTTCCGACGTGCTAGCCAAAATTCACTATGCACGAACGCGTGTGCCGACGAGCCATTTTGAGCTTTTCCGGCAGAAATGCCCTTGAAATGCGTCCACAAATTCCTGTGAGGAGGGCTGGGAAAGCGTTCACGCGTTTCGCCAGGTTGGTGTGAGGTGTCAACTCGTTGCCTTTTCCATTTTTTGCTGGGAGGTAGAGTCATTTTTGAGGGGCAACAGCTGGTCCCGGCCTGGCTGGACACACCGAGGGGTTGAAAGGCCAGAAAATGGGCCCTGGGGGTCAGGGAGAGAGAGAGAGAGAGAGAGAGAGAGAGAGAGAGAGAGAGAGAGCTGATTGATTCTCACAATTGTCAGGGACCCGATTTGCCCGAGCCAAGCAACGGAACAACGATTGGATGGGGCCTGGCAATATATCACTTCGATAGCGCCAATTGCCGCTTGGCAAGTTCTTTGGTTGGTTAAAGGGAGGGTGTAAGCTGGAGGTGTCACGTGGAAAAAGCAGGTTCCGCTCAAAACGCGGCTTCATTGTTTCTTAAAGAGCAAAAACTCCAATTTCGATAGTATTTCCAAAATGGGCAGCTCATTTAGATTTCGATCTGTTTTTTCGTTTAAAAATACTAAAAATTCTGGAAAGTACCATGTGGCAGACATTACCATTATTAAGCGATGCCAATAAGTTCTTTTACCTGTTTTCTGAGATTACCTAGGCCAAGTTGCGACGCTGCGACCGCGTTGCGTTAAAATCTTGAAGCGAGACGCAACGTGTAAAATTACTAACGAATTACTGGCGTGTTTAAGGGGAGTAGCAGCCGAACCCCCCCCCCGTTTTTTTTTTTTTGTTTTTTCTTTTTTTCCCCCTTTTTTTGATGGGGGGGGAGGGGGGGGGGGGGGGGGGGGGGGGTCCAGGTTCATCTTTTTAGATTGCAAGGGCAAGGGGGGAGCTTTAAGGCAAAAATGGTTAGAATCCAAAAACGTGTCGGCCCCTTGCCTGCCTGACACTACTATAGATCCTCAACGTGTACCTCTTCTTTATTATCCCCCCTAAGATGATCCAGTCAGTTTCACTATGTCACTTGGCGCATCACGTAGCTGCGGATGCCTAGCCAAGCTCAAGTTGCCTTTCAAAATTCCGACTTCCTAGTTCCTTTAATCCAAAATTAGGTAAGCTGAAAGACCATGAAAAATTTGGATGAAACCTAGAAGTTGTGAGTAATTTTCTAGAAATCCTCCATCGCAACAAACCAACCCCAAGGCACAAAACCTTCCAACAATCCGAGGATTTTCCAAAAAGGAACTGCTCAAAAAGACGGGGCTGTCACCATAATGATCGAACGATGATTGTTTCTGGGTGTGTTGCGGATTTTCCAGAGCAGAGCATGTTTTTCCAAGGCCCTTGCTGCTGGGAGATCACCGCTTGGGGCCCTGGAACTTTGGTCCACGAGAAAGCGACGGGCATAAATCAGCCTTGGGGCGGTTGGTCGGCTTTTTCGCCAACCCCGATGGGCCATTATCGGGTCAAAACTAGCCTCTCGAGTGTGCCCTCGGAACAACAACAGGAAGAGTGGGAACACTGTTGTGCTTTGGGCTTTACGGAATTGGACTTGGGTCAGGTTCACGCTCAGGTTTAACTTTAGGCTTAGACTTTGGGTCAGGTTAGGTTTGGCTTAGGCTTACAAGGCTAGGCGCAGGCGTAGGCTTAGGTTTAGGCTTCGGTTTAGTATCAGGCTAGGCTTAGCTTCGGCTTAGGCTTAGATTCAGGTTTGGGCTCACCAAAACTCTTCACGAAAAATGACGCAAATTGCTCATAGAAACGTTTTCGATGGCGTAAAAGGTTAGAAATTCGGCCAAAGAGCAGTTTCCAGACTGTTTTAAAGAACTTTTAAAGTGTCTACGTTTGTTTTGAAGTTTCCATCTACCCGGAAGGCACTAGTAAACAATTTATTTTATGGCCCGTCCCGAAAATTCGATTGTTAATTCCGAACTTTTTGTCGATTCGATTACTAAATAGCTTCAATGGTGGTAAAAATGTAAAAATGCACTTTTTCAATTTTTTATCCTCAAAAACACTAGCTTCATATCTTCAAGCAAGAAAAGGTCAAAAGTTGCCTGGGCCCAAGGCTGCGTGGGAGAATTCTGGTCTCGGAAATACCCCCGTCCACGCGCTAAATCCGTTGGCCCATACTTCCGGCTCGAAAAAATTACTTCGCGTAAGGTTTTCAGCCCCGGGCAAAAAATTCTGGGATTTTTAAAACCTAAAACTCAGTTTTTTAAAGAGTTTTACGCTTTTCACTCCTTGATACACCAATTCAAAATTTAATTTGATACCCGCGATCGCCTAGGTTTAAATCAAAAGTTTGAAAAGCTGGATCACAGACCGGTGAGAGCAAAATGCGTAAACTAACGGACCAAACAGTGATAAATCGTCGAATTGGCCCGTTGTCCGCGGCGATACAATGGACCGTTAACCCGGGGGCAATTTATCGCTTCCCGATAGTCCAATAATGAACCCCGGGATTTTACGCGAGCATGTGAGTAGTGGTGAAACGGTGCTTAGGAATTTTTAGTGTTTCACGTGAAGTCAGGCTCTCAAATTAAGACTAGTCTAGGGTCCAACTAGATCGTTTGCTTGATAAATTTTGGCCTGAGGACCGACAACGAGAGACAGAGAGAGAGAGAGAGAGAGAGAGAGAGAGAGAGATAGAAAGCTAGAGAGATCAAGGGAACAACTGAGAGATAGACAGAAACCGCTTTCAAGCATTGAAGGCACCGGCAAGGGGGTTTTTGGTTTTTTGACAATGGATTTTTGGGATTTGCTATCATAGTGCCGAAATCCATAATGTCGCGAATTCAAAATCTCGCGATTTCGAATTTTTTTGCATCGAATTGGAAGGTTTTTCTGGGATGTCTGCTTAAATAAATTCCGATGTTATGAATTTCGAATTTTTAAAGCTTTGACATTTTGGTCCTTATGAATTTCGAACTTATGAATTCGACATTATGATTTTTGACTATGAATTCCGACTACCTTTCCCGCCCGTTTAAACGTTTTATTAAAAAACAAGCCTCCGCTTTTTGAGCGCAAACAGAACTTATAGAGCAGTACGTGTAAAAATCATAAAAAATTGAATCAAATTTGTAGATTTTCTACTTTTTAGTTAAAAATTTTTAAAAAAGACCAAAGAACGTCAAATTGCAAATTTTCAGCATTTTTAAGGTGCTTTACAGCGACCTAGTGATCAAAACTGATAAAAAAGCAAAAGCATCATTTATATAGCCTTAACCTACCACGAGATCCTTTTAATCACGCTTTTTCCATATTCCCACATTATTATTGTTCATCCCCTCCACCCTCATAAAGTAACGCAAATAAACGGGCCCGTAAATAGTAGTCCCTCGTAGGGACTAGATCTCAAAGAACTGGGAAACCCCTTAAACTTTCATAAACCACACGGCGTGGTCGGGCTTGAGAAATCCACCCCAAAAGCAAATATTTCCCGCCCGGGCCGATCAAAGACAACCGAATGGCCCTCAAAATAACGTGGATCCAAATTTGGAATCGGCACCCTAAAAGGGGGGTGGATTTGGGCTTTTTGCCATGGCGTAAATGAGGGGTGTGGTGAGTAGAATTGTTTTCCGCTCGAGTAGCCCCTCTTTTTTCGTCCGGAGCATCCGGGGAATTTTGAGGTGGCTAAAATTAGAGGGATTCCAAAGAGATGCTGACTGTTTTTTGTGGTATACGGACGCGCATCAATGGACGGCAGGTGGAGACTGACTGCCCACCGCCCTTAAAGGGGCTGGGAAGTCAAAATTCGCGCGTCCGGGATCGAACCTACTAGTCGCAAAACAAACGGGTTACTGCCGAGAAGTAACAGGAAAAAAAATTTCTTTGCGACAAAACATATAATATTTGAGCAAAACCGAAAAGTTCTTGAGGCGAAAACGACTTTTTGAGTGCGTGACAATTCCATGTCGTAATGACTTGTAAGGCACCCAACCACCCGATCTCGCTGATTCTCTGGTCAATTTTCATAATTAATGCATCGGGGATGACAAGAATTCAGTGAGGACTCCAGAATCAGAATTCAGTCATTTTCACTTTCAAACAAGATCCTGCGGCGCGGTTGCGTTGCGGTCGCGTCTGGCTATTTGCCAGGAAGCAACGCGAGGGTCCGGGGACCAGATTTCGGAGCCCCTTTAAGTGCCAAAAATTTATTAAAACACAAATTTTAGTGCTCTCAATTGGCAATTGAGAAATTAAGGTGCCGGTTCCAGATTTCTGGCAACAATTGGTACATTTGAGTCGTCCTCTTCTTTGCAATTGCTTGAACCGCATTACCTTTCGCGCTTCGTACCTGGTGGGTGTTGGTTTTTTGGCTTAAAAATTTGATTATGAATTTCGACGTGTTGGAGGGGGGGTTTCAACCCAAACCAAAAAGGGGGGGAGGGGGGAAAAAGAAGGCCGCCTGAATAGGTCCGCGAGTTCCAAAAAAAAACCCGGCCAAGAACCATTGTGGCTCACAAAGAATCCTGAAACGAGAGAGACGGCTCTGGGGCTCCCCGGTGAAGGGGAGGACCAGCAGATTTTCCGTAGAGCAAAAAGCACAGATCTGGGGCCGAGGAATGCCCTATGAATGCTTGCAAGCAATAAATACTGCAGAAAATTTGGGGTTGCGAGGATTTATTTATTTTTCAAATCAAGTGATCGTGCGGCGAGTAGTAAAAAAAAGCAAAATACAGTCATGGTTCGAGGGTTTATTCCTTGGTGAAGAGGTTGTTGTACGCGTTCAGGATCGGGTCGTCGCTGGTTGCGAGTTCGTCATGCTGAAAACGGGCGTTTGGCAAGAGTTGTCGAGAACTCGCCCTCTCTCCCCCCCCCCTCTCTCTCGCTCGCTCTCTCTCTAACACGCTCTCCCTCCATTCCTCTCTCTCTCTCTCTCACTCTCCCTTTCCCTCTCCCTCGCTCTCTCTCCTACTGTCTCTATCTCTGTCTCGCTATCTCTCTGTTTCTCTCTCGCTCTTATCGCTCTTTCCTGCCTAGAAAATAACCCAAAATGCCCCACCATAAATGGCCATGAATACGACGGATACGACCAGTAGTTGTAAATCTAACAAAAGTTAGGGCAAGCGCGAACCGTCACTTACCTTGCGTTCAATGAGCACCTCGCGGGGTGGCAACGTCTTGTACATCTCGGAGTTGACCCATTCGTTGACGACGACCTCGCAGCGGTGCTTCGTCACGGCACGCTAAAATAAGCGGTGCTTCAGGGTTCGTGGGGAGGGGACCACCTTTTTCCCCAGCGTTTTCTATTAAGTTGGTGGGTGTTTTGTGCTTAGCTTCTAACTAATAATTCGGAAACCCAGAGACATACATCCTGCCCAATCAATTGCCCATCCTTGCTGCGCTCCCGTTTGCAAATCTTCTCGAGCTGTTCCCGAGCCGCATCCACAGCGTCGTTGTAAGCCCGGCAGTCGTGGAATGAAAGATGTCTGGAATGGAAGGGTAGCTAGGTAAGCAAGAAAAAGAAGAAGCATGGTTTTACACATTTAAGAATTTTTTTTGGTTTTTTCGATTTTCGGGGAAGGGGGTGGCGACTTTTGCTAGGGAACGATATTTTTAGATCGATAATGCGAAAGAACCGTTTTCGTAATTTCTTGGAAGCCAAAACCTTTCTCGCAGATAACGAAAAACAAGCGACTACCTGCGAGACGTGTAGCTGCAGGCGCAGAGCATGACGCTGCCCCCGCGGATAGTGACGATAAGGCCCTCGTTGCTCTGCAACACAAAGTGGCGTGACGTCGCTCGAGAATCGGCCTACCCACGGCTCACGACGGATCATGCAGTACCAATCGGTCCTCGAGACTTTGTGCAGGTCGACTCGTCCCTCGCACAACCTGCTTGGCAGCTTCTCGAATTCTGCAAGAGGGGGGCTACGACGATGGAACAATCTTCAAAACCATGTTTTTATTTAAACCTGTTACATATTTTACAAGCCATTTCGTCAAATTTACCGTTTTTGCGGGGTGGCATACGAGCTAATTTGCCCTGAAAATGCTTACTGTGGTTTTTTTGCGAGTTTCACTATGCCGATTTTGAATACTGGCGTATTCATTGTAAGGCGTATTTACTGGCGCCAGCAAAATGAACATTAACCGACCCTTGTCCAGCTCGTGCCAGGCGACCGCTCGGTCGTAGCCGTTGCCACCCAAAGTTTTCTGCACGTTCAGCTCGATGTAGTCAATCTCGCGTTCCCGATTTTCCCATTGCTGTAAAAAAAGAGTCGCCAACGTGCTAAAACCTTGCCGTAATGATGGTTTGCAATGTGGGGAGCAGCGTGTGATTGAACTGCTCGAGCAGGCCGGGGATCGGCTCGTACTTTTTGTAGTGATCGTCAACACCGCCCCGTACTAAAAAAATTTGCTGCGGTTTCCGACAGACAAATCTAAGGGAAAAGCTAAGGAAACCATTCTTTTTCTCTGAAAACTCTCGTGAACCCGCACCTTCTTTCATCACTACCATGTAGACGACGATCGTGGGCGTCTTCACGTCGGCGAGGCACTCGGTCTCCAAGATCTCACGGCCGAAGTGGAGCCAAAGCTTTTTCAAGTCCTAAAAAGCAAAAATATTTGTGTTAGTAGGAGGTCATACCGGCATCAACATCAAAACGTCGCTGATCACAGCCCGTAGCTCGCCAGCCTGGCCAGCCGAATTCGCGTGGACGGCCACGCAGTACGGCTTCGTCTCGGCTACAAAACATAATCTTGACCTCCCAAATTTTGAATACCGATCTGGCGACACAGGACTTGTTTCGGGCCCTCGATCGGCAGCATGGCGGTGTGGGCACGCACGTACGGGATGTTCTTGTACTTCTCCGTGGAGGGCATCCGCCAACCGGCGCCGAATCCGAACTGGAAGAAACAAAACTCGACGATGCGCACGCGGGGGGCACCTGGTCGAAGGTGGCGTTATTCAGGAGAATGTAGAGATCCCGGGCGGCTGACGGCTCGTGATCCTCATCAGGGGACACGTGACGGCAGCGTTTACCATCAAACGGCGGATAGTGATAGTACCGGCCGCGCTTGACGCTAAATTTTCACGGTTACGCGATTGCTTGTGGGGGGACCGGGTATATGTCGGCCACGCAGGGGCGAAAATCTAACGGACTGTTGGCGCCGACCTAACTATTTTTTGCGTTTCTTTTGCTAAAATCAAAACCCAGGGTATATTTTTCGCAGCTCTATCGAATGGCACTAAAGAAAAAAATGTCGAAAATGTTGAAAACTTGATTTACTTTTATGTCCTCCATGGAAACAACGTTTGATACTTGTTTTTGTTATAACTATTTCATATTACTAGATTTTGAACTAAAATTAAAACGCTTAGTATATTTTTGGATGCTCTATCAAATGGCGTTTTTAAAATGTCGAAAAAATAGCGCGAATCTGAAAAAACAGCCGCTCGATTCGATTTTAAATCGTTATTTTTGTTTATGCTACAACTTTTTAATATTACATTAATTTGCGCTAAAACAAAAACTCCCAGTATATTTTTTGATGCTCTATCGAATGGCGTTGCCAAAATCCTTAAAAAATAGGGAAAATATCAAAAACGGCATGTGTGTTCTGTGGCCCTCTGCGTAAAATCCCCCCCCCCCCCGCGTAGCCGACATATACAGAAGACCAAACAAAGCGGAACGAAGTTTTTGGTCGAAAAACGTATGAAAAATTACCAAAAAAAGGTCAGAATTTTCCAAATGGAAAAATACCGAAATCTCACCCGTATTCATCGCCATACGCCAACAAGTACTTCTGCTCGCGCTCCCAAGCATCCCCGCGGCGCGTCAGTCTGTAGTACCTGAAACGCGAAATCGCAGGCGTGTCGCAGGAAGATACGTTGCATCATCAGTCAGCAGGTAGTATTGGATGCCCTTTGCCAGCTCCTCGATCGTGCCCCAGCGCTTTGGCGACTTGGTGATCAGCGCCTAGAAGTTAAGATTCTCGACTGTAAGCGGCGGGACCAAATTTTTCCTCGTCATTCTCCAAGGCCCTAGCCCTATAACAAAATATCACCCAGTTTTACAACATTTTAGATTGTTTTTAAATCCAAAACCAATATGAAAAATAATGAAAATTTCGAAAACTCTTGATTTTTGTGAAAAATGTATGAAAAATCACCAAAGAAGTCCAAAATTTTCGAATTTTAAGATTCTTTAATTTTTGAACTTTTTAGCAATAAAAAACTACTAAAAAGAACTATAAAAAGACGCCGAAATCGCTTTAAGGCTGACCTTGAAGAAGAGGTCAGAATAGGCGAGGTTCAGCATGTCGAGCGGGCTCAGCAGGTTCATCACCAACAGCCACACATCGAGCGGCATACGGGTGAACTGTTCGAACGAGATGAGGGTGTCGGCTGGATTCTAAAGTGGCAGATATTCGCTGAGACATATAGATATTCCCCCGAAAATTCCGAGGACGGCGACCGTACCTGGAAGACGCGCGACTTCTTGACGACGGGCGAATCGTTTGTGAGGAAGGCGGCGATGGGGGACGTAGCGATCTGAATTTCAAACGGGTATGGATTCCGCCTCGGCCGTACCGATCTCTTTCGGGCTTCAGGGCCGGCAGCGACCGACGTCGGCATCGTGGAGTTCGAAGACACGGCATCAGGCTGGAATTGTCGGTTACGAATACGGTACGATGCCGGTGTATCCCCCCGCCCCGGGCATGACCACCTTGTAGACGTCTTCCTGCTGGTTCGTCGCCTCGTCGGCGACGCAGGGGATTCCGGGCCACATCACAACCTGGCAGATGCCCGACCGGTCGGTAGGGCGACGAGTAGAAAAGAAAAGAGCGTCGGTGGTCTGTATTCGAGTGCGCGGCGCCGGGAAAGTTCTTATGCAAATTTTTGATTCTGAACGTAAATATATGATCGAGGCTGCGAAGAGAGCGCAAGAGAGAGAGTGTGAAAGAGATAGAGAGAGAAAGAGAGAGAGAGAGTGAGAGAGAGAGCGAGCAAGAGAGAGAGAAAGAGGGGGGGAGGGGGGGGAGGGGGGAGCAAAAAAAAAAAGGAACGAAAAAACACTCTTTTTTTTTCTCTCTCGCTCTGTCGGTATTTGAATTGCAAATTTACCAAAGATTGAACAAAATACAACATTTATTGATCTCAATTGGCAATTGAGTAAATTAAGGTGCCGGATCCTGATTTCTGGCGGCCATTCACACACTTGAGTCGTCCCCTTCGTTGCCATTGCCTGAGCCGCATCACCTTGCGCGCTTCGTACCTGAAAATTGGGTGTTGCTTCTTTCGCATGTAAGTTTCGACTGGTGACATTTCGACACTTTAAAAGACGCGGGTTCAAACAGTACCAGTAAAAGCAATAGCACGTGCCGAACACGACGAAGAATATGCAGCCTATAGCGGACCAGAATGGCCAGATTTCGAAAAATTCATGCCAATCAACCATTGTGTCCCTCAGAAAAGTGTCCTGCAATGACCCTGTGTAATTTTACATCAAATGAATGGAACTTGTATATTAGCGGGGGTGGTTTTAGCGGTGAAGTTTATATCTACTTTTTCCTATCCAAAGCTGTCAAATCATACCGAATTTTTAAGGGTTTTTAGTGGTTGTCGATCGCCGTGATACGCAGCCTTACGTTAAAAAAATTTAGAAAATTTAAATGTCACGTTCATGGTCAATTTTGACAAAAAAAACTTTTCGAAAAATTTGAAACTTTTCTATGTGCTTTTCAGCGGCCGAAAGCAAAAACATTGTAAAACGCTGTAAAAATTGGGTAAATTTTGGCGAAAGCTGGCGAAACGGGTTCCTGGCTTACCTCTCCACCAAAAGTAAACACTCCTGTGCCAAAATAATTGCGAATTTTGGATAATTATGGCTGAACTAATTTTCCATGACACTTATAGAACACGCTTTTGGCAGCATTTAAAACTTTAAAAATGAAAATATGAGGATATACAAACCGAGCCAATTTTGAAGGGGGATACAGTGCTATTGGCGGACGGAGCTTACCGGGGTATGGTCCGATCCAAGATACAGATATCCGTAGCGTTTTGTGCATCAAGGTATATTACGAGAGGTATGTAGAGGTCACCTCGACGACAGCCCAAGCTTACCATCTGCCATATGCCCTCCGGCAATTGAGAATTGAGTGACAATTCGAAGCCAGGTCATTGCAATCGATTTTAATCTAGATTATTTTTCTATCTCTATCTCTCTCTCTCACTCACTCTTTCTCTCTCTCTTTCTCCTCTCCCTCTCTCTTGCTCTCGCTCTCTCTCGCTCTCTTTCTCTCTCTCGCTCTCTTTCTCTCTCTCTCTCTCTCTCTCTCTCTCTATCTCTCTCTCTCTCTCTTTCGCTATCCCTGTCCTCTTAGCGAGGCCGGGCGGGATAACATGTTATGAGATTTTTTATCTAGCTATCTTCGATTTTAGATTTATGGTTCGTAAAGATCTAGGGCACCCTAATTGTTAGAGTCCGCAGAGGTTATATAGAAGGAGATCAGGGTGTTTCTCTCATTCTTTTGGTCCCTGTCATTCCGGAAGAGCTAAGTAAAGTGAAAACTTTGAATGTTCCGAGACGGCGTCAGTGTTCAACAGCCGCAGGACATTTTTTGCAACCCTGTTTTCGAATCAAATGATGGTGCGCTGCGGAATTCCGTGTGTAGTTAGAAAGATCGAAAAAATTTATTCAGGCCATTCATTGCCAGAAAATAAAGCCTGCAATACGATGGCTAGAGGTGAAAAGTAAGTCAGCCGTTTCAACCTGCCCCTGCGTGGTCGTCCGTCAAGTTCTCTGAAAACATCAGGTGTTTTAATGAATTCGTTTGGTCCCAAAATGGTTCAAATGGCACTTCGGAAGTTCTTTCTACCGTATTTCCTCTAACCCCCCCCGCTATTATTTATAATGTGCTTTTTTATTTTTATGTCTTCCTTTGAGGCAGCTAAAATTTTAGACGCTGGCATCTTTCGGAAGCACCGTAAAGTTAACATGGGAATGAACCACCTGATCCGTTTTCTGGAACGAAAATAGCAAAGAATGAAAATATTGTACGAAATTGCGGCGCAACCTAATAAATGCGGGATTCTTGCGTATTGTAGCGTACGCCCTGAATAATAAGATTAAAATAAAATAAGCAAAAAAATTAAAACTACGGTCACGGATGGGCTGTCAACGTGGTAAGACTTGGCTTCAGACCGTTTCAGGGTGCCCGGGTGAAAGAATCGCCAGGCCAGGCTTTGGCTATGTAGCATAAAATACCTACCGTTGTCCAACCACATCACCACCGAGGAAACTGAAATTGTAATGTTTAGAAAATCAAACAAATGAGGCTCACAAAGATACCGCACCGGTTACGGTGCTTCTTCAGCAAGCCCATGTCGCCTAACGGCCATTAGCATAGCGGTTGCCTCACCTGTCATTTAAAGCTGCAGTCCGCGCTCGTTTGAATGGTCTTAGATCTTAGACAAATTGGGTATTAGAATGTCAGGCTACGGTATATGCTAAAAGTGGGGCAACATCGAACACGGACCACTCGGCCGGGGGCTAGCGCCTTAGACCACTAGGCCATGGGAAAGACGGTAAAGGGGAAGGAGAGAGGGACTATGCAGGGTCAGCGCCGCGGCCGCTAGACCATCGAATTCTCTCGCCGACGAGCAGGATTTTAGGACGATAACGGACTGTACCTTTTTGAACCGCACCACAATGCTTACGGCTAGTGCTCGCAAAAACTTGTTGCGTAATAATTTCTATAAACTTGCAAGCATCCCCCCGCTCTCAATTAAAGCTCTTACTAAGTATGCCGCAAAGTTCTTGCATGCTAAAAAGTCTCAAAGCTCCCTGGGAAATCCTTCAAAGTTGAAATATCCAGTTGCCCGCTTACATAACCGACCGTTCTGGCAGCATATACATAATCAGAAGGACAATAAGGTTCAACATGGTGATGCTCAAAAACGTCAACATCGCGTAAATACCCTCGTGGAGCCAAGGTTGGATGTTGGTGGGCGACCAAGGAAGCCAGCCTTGCCTAGAAAACGCAAATGTTTTTTTGGAAATGAAAGGAATTGTATACTGAGTGTCCCAAAAAAATCACCCCCCTCCTCCCATCTAGCCGGCCGCAATCATGTCCGATTTTTACGATTTAGGTATCTTCCGAAAGCTCTCGAAAAGCCGAGTCCAGCACGTCACTCCGATCCTTGTTTTCTTGATTTGCAGCAGTTTTTATGCCACTTTTTTGTCAAAAACGCAATTTAACCGATTTAAGCTCTATTCAAGCTGCTTTTTTGCAAATGGCTTTGACTGTCTGTCACTGTCACTTGTTGAGCTGTCAGGAAAGTCTTAGCATATTTAAATTGGGGTTTTTGTAAAAATCTTTAATCAGAAAAATATCGGATAAGCCTCCCGTTTCGTAAAAATTTTAGTAAATCTTGGAAAAATCGCAAAATTTTGCATGTGGGTAGGACGTTCTGGGCTCGCCATTCCGAAAGCTTTCGATCGATACCTAAATCGTAAAAATCGGACACGTCCGCGGCCGGCCAGGGGGGGGAGTGGTTTTCTTGAGCCTTGAACATGCCCTGCAAAACTGATAGCCGGGAAAACTTACTCGATCAGGTACGTCGCGATGTCATGCGCGAGGTTTGTGAGATGGGCATTACGCTCGCCACCTTCCATCCGCCGCTAAATTGATCTTTAATGTTCGTTAAAGGGCACGTTCAGGGACGTTTTTTTTTTGGAAAAAGCAGCGATTTTTGCCGCGGCCGGGGTTCGAACCCGAGCCCCCCCGCTCGGGAGGCGTGGATGGATGATACCAGTCAGCCACAGCTACAACCTGGTGAGGGGGCGAGGGGCGCCCCACGCCGCAAAGAAGGGGAATGGCCTGTCACAGCACGGGCAGGCAGTGCGCGCGCTCCCTACGTCCATAGGGTGTACACGTTGGGACGAGTACACGGCCCCTCCCTGAACGTGCGCTTTAAAGGGCTGGAGAAAGATGGCCAAACGTCCGTCGGGGTGCCGGATCGACGAGACGCTACTAACGTCGTAATCCAGATTCGGAATTCGTAATTCTTATGCAAGGCCCAATTTCGGCGCAGGCCACAAAGCGGGTAACCCGGATACGGCTGCTGGAAGATCCTTAGGGTATTTGAGGACTTATCACTTTAAGGTATGCGCGCCAAAATTATATAAGGTGGGATAAGTCTCGACTAAGTAAAACCAGCAAATTGGTGAAACATCGTAAGAGCGCGCCTTGCTCGTTATATCGACACTACAACATTAGTGACCTATGCCCACAGCTGTCGGCAGATGTCGCCGTGACAATGATGTTCGTTTTTTTGTAAATGGAGTAATTTCGGCCCTTCCCGGGATAAACAAGTTCACGGCAGTTTTTGTGTAAAACACAAAAAAGTTATCCCCCCCGGAAAACTTTGAAATTAGGATTACGCCGTATCTCCTCCATCGCATAACATTGATGTCCTCCAACACGGCTTTCACAGCAAAACAACAGGCTCGTTTGCCCCGAACAGGGCCGTAACAAACCCAAATTTCGGGGGGGGGGGGGGGGCGACCCCAAAATTTTTTCACTAATATGACTAAAACTACAGCGCCGCAGGCAAAATTTTTGAAAACATAGGGTTTATAACACTAAAACTAGTGTAAAAAATAGCCAAAAACAGCGCCGCAGGCAAAAAATTTTTTGGAAAAGTTAAATCATAAGGGTCCCCCCTTATGAACTTTCGGCCTTCGGCCGATTTCGGGGTGGGGGGGGGGCGGCTCGCCCCCGTCGCCCCCCCGCCTCTTACGGGCCTGGCCCCGAACCACCCGCAATTAAAGTGGCGCTTAATCAAGTCAAATCTGAATAAGCTTCAAATTATTCAAGTCAAACCGGTTTCGTAAAGCCAAACAAACGCCTTACAGTTCGCTATTTCGATTAGGCTAAAGAACAAATGTCGCAACACAAATACTTTGTTCTTATTTAAAATGCTAGCCCGTCATTCCAGAGAGCCACCCGCTCGCCCGAGGAGAGGACGCCTAAGAAACACTACGCCTGTTTTCGCCATTTATACAGAAGACAAATCACAATGAAACTCGGACGGGGCAATTTGGGACGGTATGCGGCAAGCCGGACTTTTCGATTCCGTTCCCTAAGATATGTGATTTCTTGAGCCCATCCCTACAGCCTGAGCTGCCATAACTCTCATTAAAGGGACCGGCAAGGCAACCGGCTGGTCCTGGACGGCAGACATTTTATTTACAGTTAAGACACCTTACGGGCACCCGTAAACCAGACCCGCTGGGTGTCATACCGTTTACGCCATCCCCGCTGCTATAGCTATCTAACAGCTTCTGAAGGGGACCACCGGTTGCACCAAAAATTTTTCCAATATAATTTTTAGATGCTAAATAAAATACCTTTGTTTTTTAAATGCTTTGCAAGACTTGGGAAATGTATTATCGGTCTTTCACTCTCTGTCTCCCTCTCTCCCTCTCCTTCTCTCGCTCGCTCTTGCTCGCTCTTGCTCGCTCTCTCTTTCTCTCTCTTTCTCTCTCTTTCTCTCTCTCTCTCCGGGTTAGAATGTTTTGCGACTGGTTGCATAAACGAACTTCACAAAACACACTTTCTGGGGCACCATTTATTCAGCGACAACAAATGACAACGAAAGCAGTATCCGTTTTGAATAGATGTCATTTTTCGCTTGTTTTGCCGCTCTTTCCCCCTCGCCGCGTGTACGCTCCCGTCTAGGCCATCTGGTTGAGCGTGTAGAGGAAGATGAGAATGGGCAGGACGGGGCTGGAAATTGCAACGTTTCGGAAGACCCAGAAGACGGTACCCTGAGCTGAAGACCGCCGAAGAAGCGTTGCCACCTGGAAACGGGGATTTGGTCCAAACAATTATGGGAGGCTCGAGCAAGTAGCAAGTCAACCAAAGTTACAAAGGGCTCAAAAAATTATAAAACGTCGAAATTTGTTGATTTTTTTGGTAAAAATTATGAATAAAATGGCCTAAAAGGAACGATTGCCGATTTTGGAGCGTTTTTCACTTTCTCAGGCTTTTAATTGGTTTGAAAATATGGAAATTTCAAAATTTTGGAATTGCAAGACACGAAAAACAATCGAAAGAAAAAATTGCAGCTACAGAAAAAACGTGTTTATGAAAATTCTAGATTATGGAAGTGGAAATCCTGAAATACGCGAGTTGCAGAATTTCGGATGTAGAAAAAACGGGTGGTAAAAATTCGAGATCCTGAAAACTCGAGGTTTTAAAATCTAATGAAGTTTTAAAGATTTTTAATGGGAATATGAGATTCCGGTAAGAGCGCCGCTTACCTCCCTCAACCCCCAACGTGTATCTCGGCTTCCCGTAATCATACAGGTATGTGACCAAAATGCTCGCCTTGCTCTTGCGAGTATTTTGATATACTTGCCAATCCCGTGAATAACGGGGAGCGGAGGTACGGTAGGTGGGGTCGGCGGAGAGGGTAAACTGCGGTTAAGCCCAGGTTTCCGTGAGGCAACTCTCTACCCAGCGGTACGCAGAGGACGTCAGTGTCGGTGATGAGCGGGTCCTTGCCGGTGGCGTAGGCGTATTGGTCGGCGGGGCGGCAATCGGGTGCTGCCTTCGGAAGGCCCTGGACGCGGTGGCACGTCAGTTCACCCAGGGAAGGACATCCTGAAAACCCTGGTGTAGGTAAAGGCATCGGGGCCGAAGTTTCTCTCTCTCTCTCCTTATAATTCCACTCACTTCGACGGCAAACCCTCTCCTGCAGCTGGTCGAGGTCGGTGGTGAGCAGCTGCATGAACTCCCAGGCCGGGTGGCAGCCGGCTGGTCGGGCTGTGGTGTTGTCCGCTTCCCCATCCGAAGGTGACAGTCCTGCGCCGGCCGTCTCTGCATTCAATTTCAGCTTTTCTGAACGAAAATAAAATTAATGCCCAGCAAAAACGGCTACCCTCCAGCCACGGCTCCTCGATGAACTTGTGGCAGGGGACGGTGCCGGTCACGCAATCTGGAATAAACGGGAATTGAACTGACGGTATGGTCGGCTAGGGATCATGGCCTAGGTTTGGGTCAGGCTTATGCTTGGGTCTAGGCTTGGGCCTAGGCTTGGCTTAGGCTTAGGCTTAGACTTGGGTTAGGCTTCGGCCTGGGCTAGGCGTATGCGTGTGCCTAAGCTCACGGACTAGGTTTATGCAGCGCTACGGCGCCCGTTTAAGCTTTGCGTAGCCATAGGCTTCGGCTTAGGCAAAGGATCCAGTGCAGGTTAAAGCTTAGGCTTTGGCTTGGGATAGGCGTAGTCTTAGGCTTAGGCTGAAGCTTCCTAGACTTACATTTAGGCTTAGTTTAGTCTTGGGTTTAGGCATCGGCTTTGGCTAAGGCTTAGGCTTGGGCTTCCGATTAAGCTCCGCTTAGGCTTAGGGCTGAGGCCTCTGCTTAAGGCTGAGGCTTCGGCTGAGGCTTAGGCTTTGGCTTAGGGTTAGGCTTCTGTTTAGGTGGAGACGGTCGACTTACAGCGACAGAACTTTTGTTCTATGATGATGGTGGGCAGCCCGATTTCGAGATCCGGGTAGAAGCGGTGCCAAGCGTCTGCGTCCAGTGGATGGTGCCCGTGATGCACCGGGTGGTCAGCGCATTTAGCTGCCCCCTGGGCGTCAAGCTCGCATAGATTGTAAGTGGTGGAGACTCGTTGGCAGTACTCGGTCGGCTCTGAAGCGGCACGTGATGGTCTAAGCAAAAAGCCCTTTGTTATCTACCGTATACTTCGACGGTGATGCTATTGGAGATTGCGGACCAGCTTTTGAGCACTTTGTGCGATACCCCGTCGATGTCCTCCCGTTGAACCGTAGTTTCCCATCGACACGTGAACGTCGTCGAGTCGCGCTAAAGTTAGAAAGTGGGTAATTTACCAGTCGGTTTTTTTTCTTGGGGTTTCTAATTTAGCGAACACTTTTCTAGGTTCTTTCCCATTATGGGGGGGGGGGGGTGAAGAAATGTTGTTCTTCAAAACCAATTTGTTAAATATAAATAGCGAAAATTATCTTTGTAGTTAAAATAGACTTTTATTTTACTGAAGACAATATGAAAATACTTCTGCTTTTATTAAGTTATTAGGGATTTTTATATTAATCAAAATCGACCAACCACTCTCAGCGCCGCGATATGCAGCTGGTCCTGCTCCTGGGACGGGTTGAATACGAGTCGGTCCGTGACGATCGGCGTCCCGTCGGCATGCTAAACAACGAAAAATCAGGTGAGGTTGGACTTCGGCATTTGGTCGTCATCTTTTTCGATTGCGTCGTCAGCTTAAGTGTAGTTTACCCCCCCCCCCCCCAGCCGGCACCCACCTACCGTATCTGGGCTCCCTGTTCATCTACAGGTGTGTAAAATATACCAAAATACTCGCCAGAGCAAGACAAACATTTTGGTATACTTTCCACACCTGTAGATGAACAGGGAGCCGAGATACGGTAGGTGGGGGTCGGCTGGGGGGTAAACTGCACTATAACCCGTATTTCCTCTGATAAAACCCCTGGGGTTATATTTTTTTCAATTACCTTAGGGGACGGAATTGTATTAGAGGGGGGAGGGTTGTAATAGAGGGGGGATTATTTTTTTGATCGACTAAAATCTCGAAAATTGAGGTTAAAATGGTCGGATGTGGACCAAAAACACAAATTTCTTTCGCTATATAAGGCTTATATTCACGCAAAATTGCAGGGTTAAACATAAACTGCACCCTTTTTCGCATTTTTTGGCTCTTGAGTGCATATGAGAAAAAATTTCCGCGGGGGGGGGGCTCTATTTTTTCAATGGCCCCGCGGGAAGGGATTTTATTAGAGGGGGGTGGGGCGTATAACAGAGGGGTGGTGTATTAGAGGAAATACGGTAATTTGTTTTTGTAAATCCAAAATTCCAGGTTCCTACCAGATAATCCGTTCTGACGCCGTCACGGAAAAAGACTGGTTTCCGGATCTCGTTGGCTGCGTTTGTGGCTGTAGCTGTGGACGGCAGGCGGCAACTGAAAAATGGTCTCAGGGGTGGAAAGTTGTTTTTCGGCATTTTCAATGTTTTTGCATGCGGTAAAATCGAATAGTTATGGCAAAAACAAGAAAAACGCCGGGTACCCAATACCCGGTGCCACCCACCTAATCCAAATTTTCTGTCCGGCAACGAAGGATTCTACGTTCGTTTTTGTGACATGTGGCTCCGCTCCCGCGTACTTTGCAGTGGTGAGCGTCGCTGAACGTATCGGTTAAATACCGCGGTTCGAGATGATTAAACGGAAACGAAAAAAAGACACGAAAAAGAAACTCGGTTCAAAAAACCAAGCCCATCTGATGCAGGTTTTTGGACTGAAACGAGTCGCGCTTTCGATTTTTTTAACTAACTTTGAATTTGATTAAAACCAACCTTTTTCGGCGCATGCCCACTTTTTTTTTGGGTTTCACGGATGCGTTTCTACCTTGTTTTTAACTTTTTGTCCCCCCGCCGCCTCCTTGAGCTATCTAACAAAGAGGCTTATCCAAACCCTCACCCCCCCCCCGCGCCCCGCCCGCGCTAACATCTCAATACCCAAACATCTACCAGTTTCAGCCGGCCGGCAGCCACCATTATCTTCCGAGGCGGCCGTCGTGGCGGCGGGCAGACATTGGAACTTGCGCTGCTAAAAAATAGGGGTGAGTAGAAAGACTGTAAAAGCCTAGCTAAAAGCGACAGCAGGTAATAGACTCCCAGCCCCAAAAAAAACTCCAAAGAACTATGTAAAGGGAGTTGGAATCCACACCGGATCCAGGTTCCCTGGCTCGTCCGGCTGGTCGTTGCTGCACCACACGCCGTCCACCTCGCAGCCGTAGGACATTGCTAAACCGATCCATGGTTTAAAGCGCACGTTCAGGGAGGGGCCGTGTACTCGGCCCAACGTGTACACCCTATGGACGTAGGGACCACGCGCCCTGCCTGCCCGTGCTGTGACAGGCCATTTCCCCTCCTTTGCGGCGTGGGGCGCCCCTCGCCCGCTCACCAGGTTGTAGCTGTGGCTGACTGGTATCCATCCACGCCTCCCGAGCGGGGGGCTCGGGTTCGACCCCCGGCCGCGGCAAAAACCTTTGCTTTTTTCCAAAAAACGTCCCTGAACGTGCCCTTTAACGCCGCAATTTTTGCTTCCTTTTCGAGATGCTTTCAAATCAGAACCAGAATCAGCTAAAACCTAAGCGATATCGGATACACACCAGGGCCACAACGGGGCTGTCCGCTTTCTGGCCATACACCCATCACGGAGTAGAAAAAGGACGCCTCGCAGGTGGGGAAACTCGTCGACGTCAGCGCACATTTGACGAAGCTGCCGTCTGGGCAAGCTGCAAGCGGGACCGTTTTCGTTGTCTGCTGATCCGCTCATCCGGAATGCGGTTAGGATAGTCCGGGCTCCCGTTTACAAGGAGACATTTTTTCTTGACATCCTATGATATGGATTATTTTTCATCGAATTTTTCATGGAAAACTATGCGATTTCGCGGTTGGGTTCTGGACTGTTAGCGGGGGGGGGGGAACCACTTTTTGTCTTTCTACCTTGATCTACCTGTTTTAATACATATTGTGTTTTTATGGTGTTTTTAGCAGTTTTTGATTGCTAGACAGTTAGCAAAAATATTTCTATAAATTTTGACCTTTTTGGTCATTTTTCATACATTTTTTACTAAAATTCAAAAATTTTCAAAAATTTATATTGTTTTTTATGTTGTTTTTAGATCGAAAATCGTGTACAATGCTGTAAAAATGGGTTATATTTTGTTATAGGGGCATAGAGAATCAGAATAGCACCTTGAAAATGCCGATTAAACAAATTGCGAGGCAGATTTGGACATGATAGGTTTGGTCCCCCACGAGGCAAGGATTCCGCTCAAACCTTTCCTTGCGAATGATAAACCATTACTTTTAGAACAAATGTAGGCGTTGCCCGCGTCCGTCGGCAGATATTCGCTGCGATTCTGGCAGGTTGGAATGTTGTCGATGCGGCAGTATACTTGGTTATTCGGATGGCAGGTGCCTGAAAAAAATTGTGGTCGAATGGTTGCGCTTTCTTGACAGGTAAGTGCCTTAAAACGGGAAGAAGCTGAGCGTAAGCGTACGCCCATGCTGTAGCCCTAAACTTAAGCCAAGACCTAAGCCAAGACCGAAGCCTAAGCCTTCGCCACGCCTGAGTTTGTCCTAAACCTAAGTCTGACCTAAGCTTAAGCCTAACCTAAGCCCAAGCCCACGCCCAAGCCTAAGCCCAAGTCTAACCTACCTAAGTCTAAACCTAACCAGGCTTAAGCCTAAACCCAAGCCTCGAACCATGCCCTAAAACCCACCCGAGACATCATCCAAGCACAGCGGAAAATCATGCTCGTAGCGCGTCGGGTCGGCTGCAATGGGGAGCGATGCGAAACGGTTCAACCCAAGCCCTACTCCTGTAGTATTTCCGCGGCATGCACGTGACGCTCTGTCCGTCGTGGCAGTAGACTTCACCAGCCGGACAGTGTTCCTTCGTCAACGCATCTGAAAAGTGTGGGGTAGAGGTGAATTGAGCCTAAGACGCACCTGGGTCCTGCTTCTTGCAGAATTGGTACCGTTGCGCGTATTCCTTGGCCCAGCCGTCCTCGGTGATGATCATGTACTCGTTGTTCGGGTGGCACTCGGGACCGCTGGCTCGCACGACGTCCCTCCAGAAGTCGAAATCGGGGCTGAACAACATGCGTTCGGCGATAGAATTGGCTACGTTGGTGCCGAGACAAGAGAGAGAGAGAGAGAGAGAGAGAGAGAAACAGGGAGTAGGTGAGTGAGTGATTGAGTGAAAGAGCGAGAGAGAGAAAGATAGAGGCGAGAGCGATAGAACGAGAGAGAGAGAGAGAGATAGCGAGAGAGAGAGGGAGAGAGAGAGAGAGAGAGAGAGAGAGAGAGCGAAGCCTCGCTTTTACCTCTCCTTCATCTCCTTGAAATCGTCCGGCAACAGGATGCAGGCGTGCTCGTCGGCGTGGCACTCGACGTGGTTCCACTCGCGCAGTTGCCCGGCGTGGGCCCCATGGCTGAGCATCAGCAGCAGGGGCAGCAGCATCCACACGGAGTTCAGCATCGATTGAGGCGAGCCTGGAACGAGGCGCGTTTTGCATGCAGTAATTTGCATGAAAATTCCGCTGGAATCCGAGAAAAACTTACTGAACAACGGGAGCAGCCGCATTGGGCGGCCCGCTGCGAGAAATGACGTTCTTTGGAGCCAGAGGTTTCGGTTTCGAGGGTTTCCGTCTCGGTATTCAAAGGGCGTATGGAAAAATTTTGGTAAACGAAGATCGGTGGATGTATTTTTTTTTCTGCCTCATTTATCAACCTCTTCTGCTTTCGGTTCATGGCCCTGTTTTTCCCTGCGATTCACTACGGCCCTATACCAAAATCTAAACCAGTTTTATAGCATTTATTATAACTTTGAGATAGCATTTAACGTGGTATAGCAGAGGCTTGAAAATCATGAAAATTTTTCGATAATTTTTAGCTTTCTGGTCAATGAAAAATGACCAAAAACGGGTCAACTTTTTAGAATTTTCAAAATTTTTACACATTTTATAACTTTCCAGCAATTAGAATCTACTAAAAAAACAATAAATAAATACGTAATATTTGATGAACAACGAAATACACAATATTTTTTTGCCGCAAGAAACGCGGAAAATGAAGCCGAGCCGCGCGGCCCCCGGGTCGCCAAGCCGTCTGGCTGCAAATCTTTGGCTTCCAAAATAATGATTTGGGCAATTCGAATTCTGTAATTTAGGTGATCCTTTTCTGCAATTGTCGTTTAAGGGGTCGAGCCAAATAAGACTTTCTATTTTTTCGCACAGATTGCCATGCGAGCTTCACAACCTTGTGATTGTCGGTTTATAAACTTAAAGAAGTTGAGTATAATAATGTTCTTAATGTAAAATTCCAATAAAATAATTTATCCATTTTGCTTAGAGCATGAGCTTTATCCGAAGATGGACCGCGGCCACAGTTAGGGCTCTACTGCTGGGCGGTAGCCACAACCACGGGATTGCTTATTTCCGAAAATCCGATTCCCCAAAAATTTGTTCCTCGCTCCATTACCCCCAAGAATAGTAGCAATTCCGGAATCCGGCGTCAAAACGACCCATTAAACTTTTATAGGCTCCCAAATTTATACACGTGCGCCACCTGATAAGCCGCGGCTGGAAAGTCAATTCCCGAGACGACGGAATTGATTTCCTGGCCGCCCAGCTTGGATTTCCCGGGACTTTCGCGGACCCCCTAATTGATAAAGCCTATGTTTTGGGCAGCGTTGGGTCAGTTTTTCTATTCACTCCGAGCTTTCCCTACGAAGCCTAAGCCTAAGCCTGAGCCTAAGCTAACTCCTAAGACGAAGCCTTGGCATAAGCATACGCCTAAGCTTAAAGCTAGGGAAAGCCTAAGCCAGAGCTTAGCCTACGCCTGAGTTTAAGTCCACCTCTAAGTCAAAGATAAGCCTAAGTCTACGCATAACAAAGCGTGCAGCCTTGCCTTGCACGTCCCTTTAAAACGAGGTTTTCAGTATTTTCCACGCTCCTAAATGGCGTCACGTCAGCAGGCAGCGCGACCACGGCGCGAGGTCAGTGGACGCTGACGAAAAACGGGACGACCTGTATTATGATGTGGGCCCAGATCGACCTTACGCTTTCGTATTATTCCGGAACCGGTCAGGAACAGGTAGGTAGCGCTTGGAGTCGCGTTAGGTGGCCAAATCTAACTCTAATAGCTAAAAATTCTTTTTTGAACGGAAAATAGGCAGTACCAAGTTTTTGGTTATTTTTCGACGGTTTTTCCTTTGCCTTTTCAAAATTTTGGTATGATTTTACTTTACCCCCCCCCCTCACAGCCGAAGGGTCTCAAAGTTTTCGATATTTTCGCTTATTTTGTTGGGATTTTTGCAACGCCATTCGATAGAGCGTCGAAAAATATACCAAGAGTTTTAACTTGAGCCTACAATAATGTAAAATAAAAAAGTTATAGCCAAAAACTTCCGGCTGGGGGGGGGGGGATAAAGTAAACCGTCGCCAAAATTTTTTTTCTTGAATTTTTATTTGTTTGCTGGGATTAATTATGCGGAACATACAGCTGAAAGATCGCCATGGATTTGGGGGGTGGCGGGTAGTATTTCGATTTTCCAAATATGTTTATTAGGAACGAACGATCCCAGAAACGCAAAATCTACCCCTCCGTGGACCAGGCCTAGACAAGTACGCGACAATGCAGATTGCGCAAAAGCTTTTGTAAAGGTTTTTAGCGCAACTTTTGCGCCAACTAGGTCTGACCAGATACACGACGCGTCAAACGACGCTAAAACTGATTTTTTTGGGGTGTGTTGCTTTCAAGGCGTGGCAGATTGTGCGTACAAAAATCAATTTTTTTTTTTCAGGTCGACGTCCCAGTGCAAGTTCCGGCTGCCGCGACCACAGACGGCGACTGTGATGCGATGCTGTACCTAAATGGCAACTACATCAAGGGCCAAGTGTTGAAGCTGAACTTTGACTCGAAGGCTCATTTGACGAGTTATCGAGAGGATGCCGCTGATGCGCCGACGCAAGACTGGAAGGGCTGGTCGGCCACCTTTGCTTTCGCCAGGGTGGAGGAGCTGAAGCTCGGCGACAATCAGTGGATGTTGCTGCAGGTGGGTTTTTGGTGGTTTAAAGGGGTTGGCAAGGTATTTTTGAAGATGGTTTTCACGTCCAATCGATTTCCGTTTTTTCTTTGATTTTGGAATGGAGGCGAAACCCATCGTAGTTTGTGGTCTCGGGCGCCAAAAACCGCCACAGATTTGCGATTTAAAAGCCCTAGGTAGTGCCAAAATCGACCTCTCCCTTCGACTAGGCACCGACATCTACGTGGAGTTACAGAACAACATGGGATGACTTTTGTGACGCTTTCAGCGAGGTTGGCAAAGGTCAAAAAGCGTTTGCAACCGCGATTTCGCTTCACACGTAACTGTCGACACCTAATCGTTGTTGAGGGTCGGATTTGGTGCTCTTCGAACCACTTGAAAACCTGGAGAGCTTTAATTTTTCAGGTCAACATCACTGCAAATTACACGACAGACCCGGCGCATTTCAAGATTGATGGGAACAGTGAGTTATTTCTTAAAGCGGAAAACGCTAGAATCCCGACAACTAAAATCTTGACAGCCAGAATACCAACATTCGTAATCCCGACAGCCAAAATCCCACTACCTTTAAAGGGAGAGTGCCGTCAAGTAAAAACCAACGTTTGCGTGCCAAATTCCATACGGGAAAGCTAAAAAATTATAGTCTTACCCTGCAACCCCTTTAAAAAGCCACCCTAAGCTTACATGTCTTTTAAAATAGCTTGTTATCATCTTTCAGACCCCGTCCACACCTACTATCAGCACATTGACCCGGCTGAGCCTCCAGATCTGGCCGATTCCATCTACGCCTCCAACGGATATTCTCTAAATTGCCCCAGCAAACAGAAATTCGCCATCAACAGCGACCCTAAATATGGGCCGTTGGCCTAGTGGGTTTTCTGGTTTTGCTACTTAAAAACTCAAGAAGTTTTTTTAAATCGGGAAAGGCAGTACCACCTTAAAACATCAAACATTTTTAGCATCCAGTTCAGCCTTCTCAAGGTACAAGCCTTCAAATCTGGGGCGGATACAACGTTTGGAGAAAGTGGGTTAACGTCGGTTTTGGTTTTGATGGTCTTCCCTCTCTCGCGCGCGCGCTCTCTCTCTCTCTCTCGCTCTCTCTCTCTCCCGCTCTCTTCCTGTCTTTCTCCTCTGTCTCTGTCACTCTAGCTATCCCTAAGTGTCTGTCAGGCTCGTTCTCGGTCCCTAGTTCCTCTCAGTCCCCTACTCTCACTCAGTCTCTAGCTCCCTTGGTCCCTCTACCACTCCCTCTCGCTCTGTCTGTCTCTCTCTCTCTCTCTCTCTCTCTCTCTCTACGTCTCACGTTCGCGCTTTATGAAGCTATAGAACTCTCGTTTTTCGATCGGCTCTTCCTCTTTTTACTGAAAAGTCATAAAACTTTTGCGACTGCTGACTTCCCAGCGCCTTTAAACGATCATACGGCCATCATCCGTTTACGAAATCTAATTTCCAGCTGAAACCTGTCCCGCTGATCAGCACAACACCGATAAGGTGCCGATCATTGTAGGCGGCGTGCTAGCCGGGTTGACCGTGTTGACGTTGTGTGTTTATTTGGTAAGTTTAACTTGATTTATTATTAAAAATTTATCCTAAGAGTTATGGCATGTGCAAACATATTTTACCAAATATTTTTTCAGTTCTACCGCGCCCGCCTGCCGCCAGAGATCATCAACACGGTCAACCCGCACTCGCACTATGAAAATAAGGTGATGGACGACGACGAGGACGAGGAATGATTTGTTAATATTCGGAATTGATACTATTATATTAAATAAATGACTTTCTAACGCTTTTTTTACGATGAAAACATATTTTACAACATTTTTTGCCATACTTTGTAAATTCGGATAGAATTTTTCAAATATACGTAGCGAACGTGTTTCTAAATGGTTTTTTACTATTCATAACCGTAAAAAAGGTTAGAAATTTTCGTAAAAAAAAAAACAACGATCGTTTTTTTCAAGCACAACTTGCCGTTTCTTGACCACAATTGCGACTTTTTAAATTTTTTGAAAGATTTTCTAGTCAAAATCTAGTTTTATTGTACTAATACCACTAATAAATACCTTTTATCAAGTTTTGTTGTTTTTGTTTTCTATTTTTAATTATTTTTTAAAGCCAGTATTGGGTCACACACCCAATACAGCTAAACAACGAAGGTCCAGGGCGAAGGCCCGCTACGGCATAATTCAAATGACGTAGCATCGTAACGAGTATCATAACGTACCACCTCGTTTGCCAAAAATTTAGCATATAATAAATTCTCAGCAAAATAAAAGTTTTAACGTTTATTTTGTATTTTATCGTTTTCAGCGTACTTTTTTTTACCCAGGTCCCGAAATTTTGGTGTTTCCTGGATGAATTTCACCAAAATTTGCTTTTATCTCGAGAATCTGACGTCATTGGTAATAAACTAGCTCATTTTCAGAATCAGCACAAAAAATAGTCTATTTTGGGTACCCTAGCAGTCCCGGATGTGGCAAAACATCGCTTAAATCCCCAAGGTTGATGTGCGAAAATCGGGCCTATTCTATAACGGGAGCGTGACTTTACCGATTTGGCAGTTTATATGCTCAAAAAATCCGCGATTATTTGTTCTCTCGATTCCTAAAGTTGACGTCTGCTGAAAAACGCGTTGGTGCTAATGCACTTGGGGGGGGGGGGCAGTCCCGATTTTGACTACAAGACGCTCCAAATGCCGTTTTTTAAACTCGAAGCCTCTGGAAAAGCTAAGCCAAGCCGAAGCCTAGGCTTAGCTTCTTATAAACGAAGCTTAAGCTTAGCTTGAGCCAAGCTAAGCTTAGCTCTAAGCTTAGTCCTAAATGACCCCATTTTGACCACCTAAGGCAATTTAAAACTCAAGTTAAGCTTAGCTTGGGCTTAAGCTTAAGCCTAAGCCTAAGCTAAGCTTAGTTAAAGCTAAGTTAAGCCTAGGCTTAAGCAGAAAACCAAGTAGCTTAAGCGGAGCGTTTCGTAACCCTTACTACCAATTTCGGACTGCCCCCCCCCCCTAACTGCATTAGCACCGCGTTTTAAAGAGATTTTGAATTGTTTCTAACTTTTACTAGCATTTTTCGCCTCCTCTCGGAGCCCCCAGACCCGAACAAGCCCTATCAACTATAATAATTTTCTTGACACGTCTGTCTGTCTGTCTGTCTGTCCGTGTGAAGCCGAATTCAACTCGAAGGGGAAAGGAGCTAGAGCTTAGCTCTCTTCGGATTCGGATAGAGCGTGCTCGGAAACCCCCAAACTGATAAAAAAATTATGAAAAACATTTAGTTTAATTTATTAAAATTAACTTTGAAAGTGGCGCCTTAATAAAACGACTGGGGGCCCCTCTCCCGAGAGGCCACGCCCCCTTTCGCTTCGCCCCTCTTCCCCAGGCCCCTTCGTGCGCCCAGATCGCTTTCTTAAGTTAATTTAATACTTTTTAATATACTTTTTAATACTTTTAATTATGTTAATTAACTATTTAAATCATCTAAAGCCATCAGGAAGGTATTTAGGTAGTTTTTGGAGGGGATTTCAGCCATGGCGGGTATCTAAAGCCATCATGGAGGTATGGAAGTAGTTTTTTAAGGGGATTTCAGCCATGGGGGGTATCTGAAGCCGTCAGGAAGGTAGCCGGACCGTTGCGCGGGGGAAAGGGCGGGCCTGGAGATGTGCCTGCCCCCAGGCCCGCGCAATCTGGAAAGGGCGGGCCGTTGCGCGGCTCTCCGGATTGCGCGGGCCTGAGGGCGGCTCTCGCGGCAAACGGGCCGTAGCTAGGCTTTTCCCTCTTTAAAACGTTTAAATTACGTATTAAACCTGCTTTTTAGCAGGTTCTATTGCTCGGGACCGATGCAAGGAAGTGTGAAGACTCTTTTGTATTTATATCACGACACTGCATTAGAAAATCACAATAGAACATAGAACAAATATGGGTATTTCATCCTGCGAGTAGAGTTGCCCGGTGAAGATGTCCTCGAGTTCGCTTACAGGCATCTTCCTTAATTAGCTTGGGTTTGGTCTGGTTTAAATTATATTTTATTTAATTATAAATTGGCTAAGTAGTAGATGCCAAGGCAGGATATATATTTGTCGATTTATAGACTAAATTTTAGACCTACTTTCGTCGTGACGGATAAAACTAGAACCCCTGAAAAGCATATTTTCTTATTGATGATTCGTCGAATAAGATTTTGACAAAACTTACCCTCAGACGAATGACCTCCTGATAATGCAAAAGCACCCTACAATTTATATTTCACGTACCTGTTTCTCGCGCCAGTCGGTCGGATGCCGCGCGGCGTTGCCAAATCTTTCAAATCTGCTTCTTTCCTCGCGGGCAGAACCCTGAATAACTACGTAACTAAGTATAGAATAGAGTAGATGCGGCGTTTGCCTAGAAATCGGCCTTCCCCTAAACAAACAGGTCATTTCCAAGAACTAAATACCTCTGACTGGACGAGATCACTTGGCGTTTTCGGCACGTTGACGCGTTTTCGTGCCGCGTATCTAACATAAGCTTTAATAATACAATATCGCTAAAAGAGCCAGGCAAACGCGACATTTTAATACCCTAAATTCCCACAACTATAGCAATTTTGATCGCCAAGCCAAATAAAAGGAAAACAAACCATTATCCATCCTGTCGATCCGTCGCACGCCCGGGCCATAGAAGCATCGATCATTCCTGAATTCACAAAGAAACCCGATAATTTCAAACAGCTTACCGCCCTTTCTTGCTGTGTCACCGGCCATCGCAATCGCCACGCGGTCGAAATTTGCAGCTCGCCCTTGCCCATGATCAGGCCCGTAAGAGGGGGGGGGGGGGGGCGAGGGGGGCGAGCCGCCCCCCCCGAAATCGGCCGCAGGCCGAAAAGTACATAAGGGGGGACCCTTATGATTTAATTTTTCCAAAAAATTTTTTGCCTGCGGCGCTGTTTTTGTCTATTTTTAACACTAGTTTTAGTGTTATAAACCCTATGTTTTCAAAAATTTTGCCTGCGGCGCCGTAGTTTTAGTCATATTAGTGAAAAATTTTTGGGGTCGCCCCCCCCCGAAATCTGGGTTTGTTACGGCCCTGCCCATGATCATAAATCCTAAAAAGACCAACTAAACGCGGCAGCGTTTCCAGAAAACGCATGTTACGGAAGCAAAAATAGATAAAAAACTAACCAGAAATGCGCATCGTGCTGCGGCCAAGGTAGATCGTTGCGGAAATGGCGCCGCCGCCACATCTGCGGCTTGTGATCGCTTCTATTTCTAAAAACTAAAACAAAATTACATTTACAACAAGAAAAACTCACTTTTATCGGTCTTTTCAGCCCCATCCGAACATCCATACGGTTGCAGACCTGTAATGTATTTGGAAACTAACCTCGCAGCACATAGAAGTTGCTACGCTGATCATACCACATTGAAGGATCATCAAGTAGCATTATATCTAATCGCTATACGAAGTTAGATAAAAATGAAGTGAATTGCCTAAGTTTTAGTTCTTGTACTTTCATGAACTCTGGACGAAATCCGCGGCCCGCGCTTGCTCCGTCCGCGGCCGATTGCGCGGCTGAAAGGGCAGACCCGCCCAATTAGCCGCAGGCGGGCCGCGCATTGGCCGAGAGCCGCCCGCAGGCCCGCGCAATCCCGAGAGCCGCGCAACGGTCCGCCCTTTCCAAACCGAGTAATCGCACCAGAAAATCCGCCCAGCGATAATACGACACAATCCGTTTACGAATTCCGTAATGAGTGTACTTGTACTTCGTTGCAGGTTTAAGTAAGGCTGTATGGGCTGTGGGCACGGGCCGGTTTTTATCCCTCTGGGCCCGCGAGTACGGAGCGCGCTTTAGCAAACATCCAGTACTTTCCTGCCTATTTACCAACAAGTGTATGGTGTATTGCAACGGAACTTCATTTTGTTTTCGTAATTCACAACTTTACATGTTTGTCAGCAATTGCGAGAAGAAAGATAGTTTGCAGAAGAATTTCTTTTTCAGTAGTTTCATAGATTATAGACTTCAAGGCTCATCAATTAAGGGTCAAAGCCATGCGTATGGTAAGCACAATACTTAACGGAGGTTTCTCCGGTGGGCAAGACAGTGGTCTAAATTGTTTTACAAAATGTTTCAATGAAAACGGGCCATCGGCAAACCTGAACAAACGCTGTACAACACTGTTGCCCGGCATTAGATACCGAAGATGTCTGACGGCAAAAGTGCACCTGTAGTAAGTTCAAGCCATAGGTGCGACGAACGTAGAAGTATGGAACGTCCGATTCTCGGTGATTTTGCACAACTTGAAGACGTCAATATCCTCCATCATAACCATCGTCACCTCGTGAGTATATGGGTTAAATTATTAATAAAAAACTATACAGGCTTTTGGATGTGTTGTCCGCGATAATGCAGTGCGAGCTCTTTCTGAGTGACGGCGTAAAACTCACAAATGTTGCGCACAATTCTTGAAGTACACGCTCCTTGGTTCTCTTCCTTCTACACGTGCTCCTGTAGCTTCTTTTTCGAGCCATATGCTGCATCGCATTCACCGCACCGGTGTTTCTTCTGGTCGCTCCCATCGCTCGGATTTTCTTTTACAGGAACTGAGATTCCATGGGCTGACAATTCGTGTTTTCAATAGTTGCCACTGTATGGAGTCGTGTATTGGCAATTCAGTACATCGCAGGAGAGAATAGTTCTAGCTTTATGTTCTAGCTGAACAGTTTTTTGATTTCACAACGACTAGGCATTTTACAAAAGCTGGTATTGGAAACCAAGGTCAGGAGGAACTTATAGCCGAAACTACGAAAAGAAATTCTTCTGCAAACAATCTTTCTTCTCGCAATTGCTGACAAACATGTAAAGTTGTGAATTACGAAAACAAAATGAAGTTCCGTTGCAATACACCATACACTTGTTGGTAAATAGGCAGGAAAGTACTGGAAGTTTGCTAAAGCGCGCTCCGTACTCGCGGGCCCAGAGGGATAAAAACCGGCCCGTGCTGTGGGCACATAAAGCCCGGGGGCAGCGCAGTACGAGACGTTCCTCCCTACAATGCGCCCTCGCGCCTTTCACGCCAATAGCTCGCCAAGGGGCGCTTGGGAAAGACCTTTTACTTGTAATTTTTGATGAAAAATGCTTTTATTTTGTAGGTTGTATTGGCTTCTTTTGTAAATTATTTTCATAAATCTTCTATACGCTTAATTTGATTGTACTCGCTGCCAAAAAGCTGGAAATCAACAAGTTTGGAGAATTTTGTATGACTGTTTTTGTCTGGGGGCTGATGCGCTATTAAATTACAACCATAATTGCTTTCGAACTATTTTCCGTAATCTCGAATCTCTTTTTCCAATCAACCAAGTTCATTTTCAGCCAACTTCAGCGCTCCGCGCTTGAACGCCGTGTAAACAACGGTGGCGGGTGCGCTGAAACGAGAGGAGCAATAAAAGGTGATTTACTGGCGAGTTTTTGTCAATAAAGCTCTGTTTAGAAAGATGAAGCTCGGTTGGATGGCCGAATCAAAGAGAAGCGTGAGGACGATTCTTCGCGAAGAAGGGTAGCATTTTGCTTGAACTTTTAGGAAAACGATGTGCTCGCCACCGCGCGTAGTAAGGGACGCTACTGACGTTGAAGGAGTATCGATAGGTCTCTGACCGGCGAAAAAAATGTTGTCGGTAAAACGTGTCAGGTACGTAATGTCTTTCTGGGATGTAGGAATTGTCAAAAAATTTTTTTATATAATTTGTTAGCAATCAAAATCTACGCAGGACCTTGCAAAAACACAGTGTTTATTATTAGCGGGTAGGTATAGCCGGAAAAGAAGAAGTGGTTTTCCCCTGCTAACATATAATGACATTGACTTTTCAAGGTTAAAATGTAATTACCAGCCGCTCTGCTCTTTCAGCTCGTTTCGAAGATGTGATTCGCGCCGACCCCTGCAAATCTCCACCATCTTGAGGTCGGCTAAAAAGACGAAGCAACCGGTTTCCCAGGTTACGATCGATTTGTCCAGCTCTGGAAATACCTGGGGGTAGCTTTCTGTCAAATAGCCGCCCTACCGATTCAACTGTAAATAAGCTAAATGAATTTTAATAATTTCTGGGAAAACGCGCCTCTGAGGAGCCGTGCTGGCTGAGCCCATCAATCCACCACCCCGACGCTAGGGTGTCATTAGGCCATTTTCGTAGCCCTTGTGTCCTCCTTGATCGTCAGTCACGACGCGCGACGGACAGAGCGATGGCCTTCACGGTGTGACCCCAAGACGATGGAATTGGTGGGTGAGGGGAAGATAGGTGTTCGGTGAAGGAGAGCCGGGTCAGAAGGTTGGAGGCACAGAAAGACAGACAACACACAAACAAACATCCAAAACCATAGAAAGCTATTATATACCGGGTTAGAAAACCTCACATTTGAGTTGGAAAATCATGAAACCCAGAATCACGATTATTGACAATTCTTAAAAGAGCATACGATAAATGGTTGTGAGTATGGAAACCCAGAAATTATCTGGAGAGACCGATCGATTACCACAAATAAAAAAAAATTTGATTCGCTAGAGTTTTTTGCTTTGTTTTTTTTCTGATGAGATCTGCCAGGAACTGGATTGTAAATTGTTGAAAATGAAAATGAAAAACAAAAAAGGAAAATATTTTTGAATTGTAAATTTTTAAAGTAGTTTTACTGGTTTCTAGGCATCAAAAATTGCAGCAAGAAGCTACAAAAAAAAAGATGAAAAAAATCCGGATATCTCTAAATTACTCGATGGCGAGATCCGGTACAATATTGGAACCGTATTAACGGAAGTTATTGGTCTTCACGATGGCTGATTAATTGTTTCCCGCCTACCGTACTTGCTTCCTAAAACGCACCCAATTCCCCTACTCCAATATCGACAAATTGGTGCGATCGCGGGGGCGCTGCGGGAAACCGGGTGGTAATTATTCGAGGCGCGTGGGAGGCGGATAGTGCCCTCGGGGCATAAATACCATCCCCCGCGGCCAACAGTCACAAATGTGGGCAGCCAAACAGAACGGGCGCTCCGCGTGAATACCCTTTTACACCCCCGTGGTGGCGAGTGTCAAATGGGGCGCGACTCTACGCACCATTACTGACAACACGCCCAGAGTGGGGAATTAGTGAGATTTGGGTATTTGTTGAGGGTAAACACGTATTACCGCGTGCTCAAGAAAAGTAAAGTTCTATCAGGCATGGTAGCTAGCTAGAAAATCCTTGAGAATTGAGATGTGACTGGGTTCCTGTAACACGAGTATGACGAGAGAGAGAGAGAAAGTGAGCGGGAAAGAGGGAGAGAGTGAAAGAGTGAGAGAGAACCAAGAGACCTACGTTAGGTATTCCAAAAATTCATTAACTGAAAGTATCAAACCCTCCATAAAATTTTGGCTTTAACGCTTCTTTAAATTTGCATACGAAGCAATATATTTTAGCCGTTCCAGGTTTGATTTTTTAAGAATGACCCAACTGTCTCCCCGATAACATCGCTGTCGGTGGCATCGCCCGAAAAATGGCACTTATGGGTGATGGGCGAGAGAGAGAGAGATAGAGAGAGAGAGAGTACGAGAGAGAAAGACAGACAGAGACAGACAAGCAGACTGTAAGAGACGGGGGACACATGCACAGCCCCCGTACATAGAGATCGTCCACATCGATCCCCCCACAGACCCTCCTCCCCCTCCCTCCCTCCCCCCACCTGTATTCCGCCCAAAGTATTCCCTCGTACTCCGGCTCCTGAAACTGGTTTTTTTGGCTGTTGGACCTATATTTCACGCCCTATCAAATTTGGGCAGTATCGGAATTTTTTGGAACCAGGTCGGGATCGAATATTCGAAGTTCTGAATATCTTTGGCGATTTTAAGGCGGTATTTTGGGTATTCTGAAGCTATTTTATTTGCTAGCCACCTGGGAACTTATTGTGCTACTAGAATTTGGTCTTGAAGCATTAATAGAAGACTAGAAACAATTTTTCGCTGCTATTCGGGCTTCTGATCTTTATTCCGAGATGTTTTTGAGGACATTAATTTTATTTTTTATGCCATTAAACGTAATTCATTCCTGGGGCGCTGATGATGAGCAGCGGAGAATACAGGCGGTCGGTTTTACCTCAAAATTTTGTAAATTAGCAAACTTCTTGATTCTCGGGCATTTTGCATTGCTCAAATTGATAAGAAACTAGACAAATCTCAATGTCCGGGAGCTCGTGCTCCTTTCAAGTTCGCCAGACTTTTAATCCAATTTCTTGCTCCCCTCGGCGCACCGACAACTTTACTGTTGCTCCCCAACTTTTTTGGGGTGCTCCGAGGAGCGGAAAATGGGACTCAAGGTTGCGACAGGCACTCAACATTACGCGTCCATTTACCGGTGGGGGAGGTCGACCTCAAAAACCGGAGAAAAAGAGCATCTAGGGAGCCTGACTGGGTTATGCTCATTTAGAAAGTTTTGGCAAACATTTATGACATATAAAAAATCGTTGAAAGAAACACCAGCCTAAATGACTCATTTTCTAACGATTAGACGCCAGCAGTCTCGCTAAAAATTACCAGTTAGTTATAAATTAAGGCTCAAAAACCGCTATTGACCTACTTTTAGATAATTGAGGAAGAAGAACGCTCATTTAATGAAGAAATGAAGCCGCAGACCCAGATGAAATACAAACAAAAATTTGGCGGACCGTCGTTGTACTATTCGGAAAGAGGGGAATTTACCGGAAGTCCGAGGGCCGAGCCTTTGACTGGAGATCGGCAAGGGGAAAGTGAGTGGAACTTGGAAAGATTCATACTAATGTCATCGGAAAACACAAAAATGCGAACCAAAAGCATGGGAGAGAAATAGGGGCGCTAGAGAGGAACGGGAGAGAGAGAGAGAGAGAGAGAGAGAGAGAGATAGAGATAGAGAGGGGGAGAGAGGGAGAGAGAACGAGAAAGAAAGAGGGAGAGGGCTAGAGAGCGACCGAAAAGATAAACCTATGTTTTCAGTCTATTCCCAAGACGAAAACTGGTGCTACTCCTGCGTCACCCCGCTCCAGCTCCTCTCCAAAGATATGCAAACCTCGGTTAAAAATTTCCTGCAAATGAGTAGAACCGAGTATCCTAAAGGTAGGTTGTAACTGATTTGAATTTTCATGTCTTATTTCTTTCGTCTTTAGCTTTTTTTTGTGTAAATTCCAAGCCCCTGAACAAGATAAATTTTAGAACACGTGACGCAAGAGTGCCTGAACGGCCGAAACGTCTCCAAGATTCACAAGCAAAAATGTCTACATAAATACTGCCAAACCCTCGTCTTGAATGACCATAATCAAGGTAAAAACTGCTATTTTTAATCATTTCTATGCCAATTTCAGGAGCGTCATTTGTACTGCGGGGTTGCGCTGAGAACTTTGGCGCCGTCGACCCGAAGAAGTTCGAGGAGAAGGAGGAGAACTCGTGTACAAAGTAAGGAATTCTTGGTTATAAGAAGGCCACAGCATTCTTGTCCTATTATTGTGACAAGACAATGTTTATTATATTTAAAAAACAACAACATGTAGTTCTTGCCAAGAATCTTCCTATTTACAGGCTACACCATACCCTCGACATCCGGGAGTGTATCTGCAAAAATCGCCATTTCTGCTTTGCCAGTCACAGCTTCAGAAAATCGTCTAATAACCCATTTTCCGTTTTCCTGAGCTTCTTAACTGGTTTCTGCATCGCCTTTTTCCTTTTGACGTAAATTCCACTATTGAATTCGCCTTTTTTTGTTTTTCAGATGCCATTTGTTGATTGTTGTAGCAGGTAGCTTGTTGGATTATCAATCTCTCTCCCTCACTCTCTCTCTCTTGCTCTCTCTCTCTTGCTCTCTCTTGCCTTCCCTCTGCCTCTCCCTGTCCTTTCCTCCCCTCTGCCTCTCCCCCCCTCTCTCTCGCTCTCTCTCTCTCTCTCTCTCTCTCTCTCTCTCTCTCTCTCTCTTTCTCTAACTCTGAATCTGACTTTTTAGTCGATACTTTCAATTTTCTGTGATTTTTCTGTGACTACATTCCCCCCAAAAAACCGAGTGCCTTGCCAAGTCTATATTTTGTACTTTGATACCTAATTTTTCTACTTATTCCCATTTTTTAAGTTTTCGTTATCTCAAAAACTCATCTCAAAGGTTTTTTGTATTTTTAGTCGAGATTATGCAAATAACTTTATGCAAATACAACAAAATAGATACCGAAAAATCGTATGCAAATGACTCAAATTAAAGCGAATTAATTTTAGGGGAGATCTCTAGCCAAGCCGATCGAATCTAGGGTTACATTTAGCTTTAATAAATTACCAAATTACAGCCAAAATATAAGTGAATCGATTACGCGATGAAAAACGGTTGGGGAAATATCACAGTCTCGACACTTCGGGGGGCTCTCTTTGGGTGGGAATTCTGGGCAGTGACTAGGTAGGAAATTCCAAAGTGAAGGATGCTAAATTGAATTATTTTAAATACAAAACACGAATAAAAAAACCCAAAAATCTATCGATTACGAAAGGTCGAAGGGCGGCAAAACATTGGGCGACGGCGCGTCGAAGCTGATCTCGGTCATCTGGCGCCGGTTGCTTTGGGCGACGACGTCGCGAGGGCTCTGAAATTTGTATAACTTTGCAAAGCGACCGTAATTCAAATCCAAACCGATTTTGCCTTTCACAATCTGGTGAAAACCATGGTCATAAAGGCTTAGATCTTTTTTTTTTGAGAATTGTCAAATTTTAGGTTCAGATAGGCAAATCAGCTCTGAATTCCGTGATAATCAACGCCGCCTTGGGATGATTTCATGTCGTAATCGTTTGTTCAAGGTTGATGGACTGATGTATTACATCAATTCACGAGATAAAAAGACGCAGCAATGGTTTTAACGCGCGCTATCTTTTAGCGGAATCGGGATTCTAACATTTTCCATAAGGTTTTTAATTCGAAAATACGCTTTGTAAAAGCAAGTTTTACCACTTGGCTTGGCGACATCAGAAAATTTGACTTGCCGGTCCCTTTAACAACAATATTTTTAAAACCAAAAAGGCGATTTTCGTCAATTCCGCACGTTTCTCAGTTTGCTAGCTTCTACCAGCAGCAAGACCCCGACTTGCCAATCCCTCAAAAACCCCCGGGGGCGGACCCCCGCGCGCCTCTTCCCCAAAACCCCCCCCGGGGGCAGGAAGGGCCCCCCGGGAAAAAAAAAAGGGGGACGGAAGGGGAAGGAAAGCAAAAAAGGGGGCGCGGAGGGCGGGGTTGGGCAGTGGGTTTTTTTTGGGGGGTTTGGGGGGGTGTTGTTTGGGTTTTTTTTTTTTTTGTGTGTTAAGGATCCAAATCTCCATATTACCCTAACAAAGAGATTTCCAAGATGTTTACATACTCGTTTCTCTAATTTACCTTGGAGTGACAGAAACAAGCTCCACCCTCACAACCACCAGCGCCAGAATTCTTCGATTCAGTTTCACCGGACTCTTCCGGAAAGGCGAAGAGCAGAAGCGAGGCATTCTAAAGGATTGTTTAGGCTCAAACCCTTCAGAAGAAAAAAAGAAATAATTCTGTGCTTCGAATTCCATTCCCACCGTAAGCACCAACCAGCACAACCACACGACGATGATATCGCGAAAATTCACGGGGGTCACGGGGGGGATAGCAATATGTACACACAACACAGGCCCAAGGCGCCGGGGATCGAACTTACTGCTGAAAAGGTAAAATAAGTCACTATACAAAACTTGTGCCATGCTGGGAAAAATGAGGTAGCAAGGATACTGTATTGTTTTAACTTAATGCCGGTTTTGGATTTTAAAGAGACCTAAAAACAAAAATACATCGTCTTGTGAAACTTTTTCATTCGAGCTTGGCGTACCGCTGCGTACTGTAGTGTACCTTCGCGTAAGGTATCGTACGACATCGTACCATAGGGTACTGTAGCGTATCATAGCGTACTTCGGCGGATAGTAAGTTACTATCGATTACCACGGTGTAAAGGGCAATTGAAACGAGTGTCAGGGGAAAAATTGAAAAACCATGAATTCCTGCTTTCCAAGTCCCTTTAAAATCCTCCAAAATGCATATGGGTCTCGAAACGATATCAATCCGGTGACCCGGACTAACCTGTACATAGGAAATGTTGGCAGGCCTAGTTGGAGTTCTGGAGGGAGTGACGGCGCGGCTCGGTGACCTCGACGAGTCTCTTGACGGAGACAAGTCTTGGGCTGGAATCGGAATTTAATTAGGTTTCGAATTCCGCACAGGATCTCTGCTAGCATGCCTCATTCTTCTTCCCAAATTCTCTCTGCTAGCCTGCTATCCCCTTCACTTACCAACTAATGGCCATCCCCGTTCGCTGCTGAACCCGATCGGGCTCACATAGTCGTTGGAGGTATATACGGTACCCTGACGCTCCTTTCTCAGCTCTTCTTCGACTTTTTCACGACGTCTTCGTTCTCTGAAAGCCAGTCTTACTACAAAGTACAACCTAAAAAATCTCGCGTTTTTAATTCTGAAATTAAAGAAAAATTAAATAAAATTCTGTAAGCGGCTTTTCTTAAGGAAGTACAAGCTCCCCACCTTGATACCGTTCGTTCCCTCTCCATCTTTTCCCGCTCCTCCCTCTCAATGCTCTCCTGTCGTCGCTGCCTGGCTCTCCCGATGTGCTCTCGGATCTCATTGTCGTTAGTAGCAATCGGAAGCTGGCTTCGCCCGCGTGAACTGGTGCTTTCTGGAATGGAAATGGTAAACTTGGTACATTTAAAGGTCCCTCTAAGCCAGAATTTGTTTTTTATGGAGCTTAGGGTGACCTACCGAAAGACCGGACCATCTCCTCCTCGCCTCGTTTCGATTGCCCTGGTGATGAAGGTCCGGGGAGTGATTTCTAAAGGCAATTTGCTACCTTTGAAGCCTAAAAAAGATGAGTTACCTGCCCCTCCATCACCAGCGAGTCGGGCCGCCCGTTTTGCCCTCGTTGGCCATCTAACGTTGCTGCCTGCTGGCCAGCAGGTACCCGTTTGATTTCGACGTTGTAGACACGAGGGGTTTCGACGACGTCATGGTGTGGCAAGATACTGTAATTTAATTGTAAAATGACATACCAGAGTTAATAGATACCTTTGATTGTGCGTAGAATTAATTAAACTTTGGCGTTGTTCGAGAAATGGTGGACCGTGGCCGGGTTGGGGAAAGGTGGAGCTGAAATTCAGGGTTAGACAGAGAGAGAGCAAGAGAGCGAGAGAGAGCGTGAGTGAGTGAGAGATAGCGAGAGGGAAAGAGAGAGATAGAGAGAGAGCGGGAGAGAGGGAGAGAGAGGGAGGTAGAGAGGGCGTGAGAGAGAGGGAGAAAGAGGGAGAGATAGAGCGATGGAGAGAGAGAGCTCACCGTGCACTATCATAACTAGAAATCGGTTGATCAGGCATTGGCCCGCGGCTCCTCCGCTCTTCCGTCACCACCTCCCGCTCCTCGGTGACCCGACGGTTGAGTAGCTGAAGCTCAAGTTAGCACGGAAATTAATTACATGGCTTTTTTAAGCCAAAAAATCAAAATTGAAAACCAAAACAAAAATTCGCGTGCATTAAAGGGCCAAGTCATGAAGGTGGATGTTTTTGCCGTTGCCATAGCCGGAAATCCATAGCCATGCCTTTCCGGACCCCTTTAAGGTGCCTGGAAAGGTAGGGATTGCTATTTAAACTATGGTAGCGAGAAAAAAAGTGCAAAACAGCACAAAAAAAACTCATTTTCAAGGATTCCGAAAAATTACTGTATCCCACTTTCACTCCCTGCCTTCCCAGTCCCTTAAAACCCCAAAAACTCAAGCAATTCCACGCAACAACCCGCTTACAGCCTCGTTGCCGTACGGTAGCAGTGGGCGCGTCATGAATGCGTGGATCTCCTCCATCTGCCGGGTGTCATTGGGGTAGTCCCGCGTAGTCGTCCATGCCCCATCCGCGACCACCACCGAGGGTCTCACCACAACAGCGTCTGTTAGGAAATGAGGGCGTTTAGAGGATGTTAATGGAACACAAGGGACTGGAGAGGTGTTTCCAAATGATACTTTTCAGAGAAACAGAGACAAAAAAATTGGTTTTCTGCGTTTTAGGAATTTGAAACACCTCTCACCTAAAGTACAGTATCCAGAAGTACCCACCATTTGACTCACTGGTCGGTCGACTCCTCGTTGGCGCCCGGACTACGGTAGGTATCGTGGGAGAGGGGCCGGATGGGGTGGGTCTTCTCGAGATGGAGGAGTAGAGCGTGCCAGGTTCTTGCTGAGGGCCGGGTTGAGGTGACTAAAATGGGGTGGATTTACTCAAGTTCTCTCCGCCGATCTCCTGCTCGCCAAATTCATTGTCTCACTATCAGCTTGCCCAAATTTCTTCAGGGACCGGATAATAGCTTGCTCCTCAATTTCCTCAAGTAACTTTGCTGGCTCGTCCTTTAATTTCTGCAACAACCTCTGCTAGCCTGCTCCGGCCATTCCGCCAAGAATCACTGCTAGCCGAGCTCTTGAATTCTTCAAAGAATCGCTCCTAGTTAGGTAGGTATAGTCCAAAGGTTCCTACCCGGGGTAACTTGCCACACACTGAAATCAACAACTTACTCGACTCAGCATCTCCGGAAGTCGCTCCGGAATCGGGGAAGTTGGAGGCGCGGGGGCAAACTCGTTGTTGCTCACCGATATCGAAAGACCATCAGGGGGAGGGACTGAAATGGCATATTTTGGAGGGGCTTGAACCCAGTTTTTTAGTTATGTCTAATAAGTTGCATAGTTTGGAGATCAAACAAAGTTCTCTAAAGCTCACATTGATTCGGTGGCTCGATCCTCGCAGTCCTTGCATAGGTCGTGCTCCCATCCTCCACAGATTCGTATTCATTCCCTATCGTCGAGTAGTAATGCTCGCGGATCGGCAGTCCCCCAGGCCCAAGGCGACCTTGTTCCTCGAGGCGAGCGCGGATCACCTAGAACACGTCAAGAATTCAACGGAAAATTGGTTTATTCTAAATCTGCTTCAACTTGGAAATTGTAAAACAGGATGAGAGAACTTACATCAGCACTCTCCCTTACGGTAATATATCGATATGAGGGCTCTCGGATAGACGTTTGGTCGGTGCCCTGAAATTGGAGCTAGAGCAGAGAGAGGGGGGAGAAAGAGAGACGGCGACAGAGAGAGCGAGAGAACGAGAGAGAAAGAGAGAAAGAGAGATAAAGAGCGAGAGGGAGAGAGAGGGAGAGAGAGATGAAGAGAGGGCTCCCATTTTACTGACTCACCTGGTTCTGCTGTGAAGCCAGCAAGTCTTCTCTTGTAATTTCACCTACGGTATGCACCAAGTCGGCTTGGGTACTTGGCCCCGGAACTGGGGATTCGGCCTAAAAATCGAATTAAATCAGGTAATTAGATCGAAAATTATTTAACTGTCAAAAACGCACCCCTCGCCTCGACTCTGTTCTCCTGATTTTACTGTACAATTGGTCCAGCTCAGCCTCCGTTTTCTCGATTGTTGGCTTGACCTGAAAGTCGTAGGGTATCGTTTGCAAACATTAAGTAGCTTACCTTAGCATATCCCGGATCGTAGGCGCTGCTTGAGTCGTCTTCCTGTTGAGCAAGAGCGATTCGAGGTTCTGAGGCGATTGAGCTAAAAAACCGGAATTCTCTTGTGCTAAGAAATTAGGAAACAGCGCTCGTAATTACTTTGAAAATCAAGATATGAGCACATAAAAACCTCAATTTTTAAGTTTAATACCTGTAAGGATCTTCACTTCCCGCCGCATAAATCTGTGAAGCACTCTGATAAAATGGATCCTCAGCGTCTCGGACTCTGGTATTTTTCATAAATATCGGGTAGTCGTATTTTCGATTTGATCGTGGATCGGTGACCTAAATTGGACATTGTTACCAAGTAAATATACTAACAAGTTACTGTGGTAAGTTAGTTGTAAGTTATTAAATAGTAATTAGTAGTTTTACAATCGATGAAAAAATACCTTACCTTTGAGTAAAACGGATCCACCGTCGAGTCGTTATCCCGGTCGATACTTTCGTATAATTGGGTCGGCCCATCGGCGTATTCGATGTCTTTGTCGATTCGGGTTTTATTGATGGCGGCGTAGGTCTGGAAATTAACGCATTAATGGGCGTGAATTGCATGGATATCTACGCTTTTTCTCCCTTAAATTAAAGGCGGCTAAAAAGCCCAAAAGCTCACATTTTCCGGGAGATCCGGAAGGGCCCGAGGTCCTCGGGGAGGTGCAGATGATCGAGGATCTGCTGCACTATTTGAAGCCTGAAAAAATATGTTTAGACTGGCAAAAAGATAGTTTCTCTCTCGCTCTTTCTCACTCTCACCCTCTCGCTCTCTAAACCGCCTCTTTTAAGATAAAAAAACGTAGGTTTTTACCTTATTACTGGCACCTGGTTGGGAGTGGCGGTCACTTTTCTGTCTTCCGCTGCCATTCCGGAACTGTACGGCTTTCGGGACGTCTTCTGGAGCCACGATGACACCGTAGGCCACGTCGTCGGGATCGCTGCAGAAAAGCAATTTGGATGCCGTTTCGGAATTTTTTTAAGGTACGCAGAAGCCATCCAGATCTTTGGATCTAGCCGTTTCAGTTCCAATTTTAACGTATTGATGCCGACCAGCATTAGCCTCGGAATTCCGGCGTCACTGACCTATTCTTAACCTTCTTCCTACAACACGTCGTACACATCGACACCATCGACACCATCGTGACGAGGGAGGCAAGTGATAGAAAAGCCATCGCCCCGGGCTCCAGCGACGAGACAAGCCCCGCCGCCTCCACCAGCACCATCACCGCGGTGTTCTACAGGGGTCGGGGTGGCCAGGGCCCACTAAAAATGGATTTTACTTTTTTATAAAAAGATAAAAATATGGAAAATAGAAGTTGGCAAAGCAAATGCAGGCATTTTTACGATCATAGAAATTTATAAGAATTTAGAGCTTGTTTACCTATGGGAAAATAGTTCTGGATAGCCAGAGCGGCCAAAATTTCTAATAATTTTCTACAAACAATAAAATATGGATTAATGCTATGTTATAAAAGCGAAACAGCAACAAACCTCTTCGCAAAAGTCATAGGCATATTTAAGAAGCCAAAAAGGTACAAAAAACTGTTTAGATCATTGAAAAACTTATCGAAATGATTTGATAAAATACAAAAAAAATAATAGAGAATTAATGAGCCGTTAAAGCAATAAAAATGTCGCAGTTTAGCTAAACTTATTGCACTTTAACGCATTTTCTAACCTATTTTCGACCTAAAACAAGGTTTTCTATGCGAAAAATATGATATAAATCTGTCTTTCTATAAATATAAATCATGAATTCTGGCCTTCAAAATAACCTGAGGTGCGAAAGCAACGTATTAGGATACGGAATTAGGCATTCCAAATAAGTTTTCGCGTAAAAAGTAGGCCATTTTCGCGAAAATACTATTATTTAACGACTTCACAAATGGATTTCCTGCTTAAAATTCGCCTTTCGATGCAAATTAGGCGAAGAAACCCCAAAATATGAATTCTAGACCTCAAAACTGCCCTAGGCGTGAAATCCATTAATCCCGGGAACGCATTAGCATACGGAATTACGCATTCAAAGGCAGCGGCCGGTTGGATGCGTGCCAGGTGACGAGAAGTGAGAGAGTGGGGAAGGAGAGAGGGACGAGAGGGTGTGGTAGGGGTCAGAGCCGATGACCCATTGGGATCGATGTGCCCCCGGCTACTAAAGCGTGCAGGCGCTACTCGAGGAGAAAAAGGAGGAGCCGCACTGACGATTTGTCAACCCGAACGGATTGGCGTGGGAAAGCAATAAAAATTGGCAGATTTGAGTTTGGTTACGGTAAGAATTTTTGAGCTTTGAGGAGAGAGCCAGAGAGAGAGGGAGAGAGAGAGAGATAAAAAGCGAGATAGGCTCATGAAAGAACACGAATAAACCCCCAAGGCTGTACGGAAAAAATGCGGCTTCGGCTTGAAATTTAGTTACGGTAAGAAAGTTGTCATCGCTATTTTTGAGCACTACAGAAAAGGTAGAGACAGAGCGAGAGAAAGCTAGAGAGAGAGATGGCGGGAAATTTCCAAGTTGTTGCGGCATTTATTTTGTCATTTTCCTATTAGCACGAGCTCATGTGGGCCCCAAAATTAAACGAATTAAATATGGAGAAAGAGCGAATGAGAGATATTAATAGAGAGAAGTTTGAAATTTGCAAGGAATCCATGCTAGCTTGCCCTCTGTTCGACTCCCAGAGCTCTTGAGGCAATCTAGCAAATATCCAGGAGGATAACAGACCCAGAGTTATCTGCATTCAGCCCGGCAAGCTAGCAGGTTTCCTTTGGGATCTTTCAGCGCGTTACGGTATCTAGGTGTAAGACTTGTTCAATGCGAGAGATGAAAGTTCGCGGTGCGTAGGATGTGAAAAATGGCTGGAACTGGGCAGCTGCGTCTAAAAAGTGACGTCCAAGTGACTGGCTAGTCTCTATCACACCCTCTCTGACCTAAAAGCCAAAACCCGAAGCCTTCCCTTCCAATGCTAGACTGATTATCACCTGGCCAAGGTGCCGTCAAAAACAGGTAGAAGAATAGGCGCGTCACGGAATGGCTAGGCGTGAGGATTAGGTTCCACCGTCCGTCCGTTCCGCGCGTGCATTCTGGGTAAGCGCTTGAGAGAGAGAGAGAGAGAGAGAGAGAGAGAGAGAGAGAGACGGGCAATGACCGGAACCTCCTCGGCGGTCCGAGGGCCCACCGACACGCTATCCACACAGCGCACCCACTGGGGGACCCAGATCGGAGGGCCCTAACAATACGCAGACGTTGAATGCAACTTTTTGATCTGCACGATAGACACTTGAAAAGTCGATTCGATTGCGCGGGGTTGTGTAAGCGGCAGAGAATGAATTTTTGTTTGATTCGGCGGAACGTTGCGTTTGTGTAGTTTCGGATTACGAGGTCGTGTTCGTTCCAATGCACACGTAGCAAAAATCTGGAGTTCTCGTCTACCGAGCTAGATTTCTTGGGTTGGAATTTGGCTTCGCGGTTCCTTTAAATAGAACTGAGGCATATAGCGAAAGAGAGAGAGACAGAGAGATAAAGAGAGAGAGAGAGAGAGAGAGAGAGAGAGGAGAGAGAGAAGGAGAGATAACGAGATGATTCTTGGCTGATTGCCACAAGATAAACAGCTGTCCGGAGTGGCTGGATGACTAGAAGGAAGAGATCATGGTTCCGACGCTATCCAAATAACACTTATCGTACGACCGGGCTCTTGACTCTGCGTGTGCTGATGATGTATCAGCACAAAAAGTGGACAAAACGTGCGGAAATCAGCAAAAATGATTAGGCTCAGGGTCAGTCGGGCTTGGCCTGGGCTTGGGCTTGGGTTTGTCTTAGGCTTAGCTTAAGCCTAGCTCAAGCTTCACTTGGGCTCAAACTTAGGCTTAGGCTTCGGGTAGGCTTCGCCCTAGGCTTAGGATCAGGATTAGGAACAGACTTCTGCTTTAGGGTTTTAGGTTCCGAAATCGCTTCAGTACCGCGGAAAATTAACCTTCTAAAAACCCACTAAAACCTTTGAAAAGAATTCCGAAGAACTGCTCCAAGCCCTTAAAACTCTTAAAATCCACTTGAAACCCGTTCAAAAGTGCCCCGACTACGTGGAAGTGCTGGGCAAATTCGCGCCGTAGACCGGGACCCACTTCATTCGACTCGGCCCTCCCCATCAACATTCGGGGGGCTTCCGGCAATTTCCACAGCTGCACAAATGACGGACCCCGGGCCGGGCCGACTTCAACCCGTTGCTCAACACTGGAAACACGGGGCCATAGATTTTGTGCAGCTGGCCTTCGGGTTTTGCAAAAAGTATTGATGGAAGTTTTGCTTGGGTTTTGAAATGAGGTTCTTTAGGATTTCCGGGGGGGGAAAGTATTTCCGGGGGGGGAAACCAAATTTTTTCCTGGTTTTCCCGGTCGACCCACTAATCAAATATAAAGTGTTTTCACATTGTTTTTAGTAAATTTTAAGTATATTTAAAGTAGAAAAACCTTTCAAAAAAAGTTAGAAAAATGTTTGAAAAGGTCGAAAATTTAGTCATTTTGGGTCTTTCCCCCCCGCTAATCCTAAAGGTTCTATAGGATTTTTCGACCTAAGATTAAATTTTTTAACTAAAATGTGGGTAGTTTTGATGCTCAGGACTAGTTAAAAACCATTTAGAAACGCATGCGCTATTTAGAAAAAAATTTAGGCTTGGGCCGAAAAAATTTGGTTTCCCGGAAATACTTTCCCAAATCCTTTCCGGAAATCTAAAGAACTAAATGAAAATGAAAACTTTTATTATAGGAAAAAAGAAAATTTTATACAACTTTGATGAAAACGTCGCAAACAATAAGCGGGTTAAAAAATTACCTTGCTTTTTATAGTTCACAACAATCAGAAAATCCAAGAAATTCCGTAAAAATTTGAAGTTTAACATTTTTAGAATTTTTAGGACCCGATTACGGTATAAAAATGAGGTTCACAGCGTCAGAAAAAATTGCAAAATTAAGACTAGCTTTTTAGGCTCTAAAATTAACTTTTTACTTTTTTTTCTGACCCAAAGTTCGAGAAAAATTAAAAATTACAAATTATAACGTTCTCGACCATTCAATTCTTAGATGGCTGTTTAAGAAAGCGAAACTTGCATATCGGCAGGGAAAACAAAGCGAAGTTCCGTCAAAGATCCAGAAACGCATACATGGAGCAATTTCACGGTGATAAAACGAGCACGCTCATGTCAGTGGAAAAATGGTTGTGTGACACGGGGGCAAGGTCACCGATAGTGAAATTGGCAGCAGGAGGAGGCCTGAACCAATTTGAAGGATCACCTGGGGTCGACGACCAGATTCAAACTTAAACAAATCAAAGTAAAGCATTTGAAAAATCCGGAACATTTTCAGGATCATTTCATAGCGTTATTGATTGTTTTGATCTTTCCGCATGCGCTCAATGAGGTGGCTTACAGTTTTTGTTAGCCCCAAAATGAGTCAGTGGCGTCAATAAAGATTCAATTTTTGCAAATCGATGAGAGAGCCTGGATAAAGACGAAAAAGCCTAGAACATCAGGCTCAAGATTTCCCCCGGGGGGCTTCCATGACAGATACGCCACGGTGCGCAAATATCGCCGGCGGCGGTCGATCCTTGGTCGAATTCATTTTTGTGGTTTTTGAGGAAGTTGGGCTCTCTCTCTCGCTTTCTTTCGCTCTCGTGATCTCTTGCTCTCTCTTCCCTCTCTCTCTCTCTCTCTCTCTCTCGCTCTCTCTTTTCTCTCTTTTTTTTTTTTTTTTTTTTTTTTTTATTTTTTTTTACTGTACCCTAATTTTAACCAACAAAACTATTGTATTTTCTACATAGTTTTTCTCGCCTAAAATTGCCCTTTTTCGAACACCATCCAATCCGTTTCCCAATTATTCCCGGATTTCAGGTACACCTCATTATCCTGGATGCTTTTCGACGATCCGCTAGAACGTTCGAAAATCCCGTCACAAAGCGTGTGTTGATGTTCCAGCACCGCGTCAAAACATGCACATCATCACCATCAGCATCGTATTCAGCGTTTACGGGATCGCCCTGTACTCCGTGAAAAGGAGCGTCGCGTACACACATCCCTTTGGTGCGCTGAATCAATATACCGAGTCCATGCAACGGCCATCTGTCGTTTGGAGGTTCGAGGAATAAAATGGGTTTGGTGCAGGTCGTTCAGGCCGGAATGTTTTGATGGAGGAGGGTTTATCATAGGTATCGAAATGTTGTGGCTGATTTTTGACAAAACGG